GAAATATGGACACCGTAGTCATTCCGATAGGACGAAAAGAGAGGTCCTGTGTATACATTGGCGTGTACGTAAAGGATCCCTTGGCAGTTGGAATTCTATAGACACAATGAATGGTGTTTGTCTGTGACCATTAGCCCAGTAGGAACAGAATAGTAGGACGTTAAACACCATTTCATTTACTTTTCTCTTTGAGGCGGAGAAATCCGACATGAATATTCAGAGAAACTAACATCGGCATCAAACCCGGTATATCTTAGAACTTTTAATATTATGTATGCCATTACATTAACTCGAGTGACAGGGAGTAGGGTCGTCATCCTAACCTCGTGGGTTTCCTCCGGGTCAAATATTTTTCCATGAAGGCTTAAGACACTTACTCGTGAGCAACATAATAAAATAATCTCTCTCTCTCTCTCCATCTCTCTCTCTCTAACCCTCTTTTTAGCATGCAAGAACAGTCAAGTCCTTAGGATGGGATAAAAAAAAACCAGTTGGAATTCGAAATAAGAGTTGGCAGTAGTGCGGCTGACCGGGCAACAATTTCCCTCGTTGTATGACGTACGCCGGTCATCGATAGCCCAGTCGGAGCAGAACCGTAGGCCGTTAAACACTATTTTATTTGATAAAAATTATCTGAGTTATAAAACCCTTCATCCCCTAGTACTACTTTAAATGTCATCAATATGACGTAATGCATGTTATAAAGGGTTCTATTCCCTGCTACTTTAAATGTCATCAATATGACGTAGTGCACGTTATAAAGGCTATGAAAACAAATAGTGTTCCGAATGATTCGGGCTTACAGCATGTAAAATATAAACAGACCTTTTCTTGTATTCATAATGAAATAATGTTATCAATTATATGTCGCTAATACAAACAGTTCTCGTCTTTGTGTTTTGTATTCCTAACAGACATTTCAAGCGACATTTCGTCACCGTTGTGTTTATAAAACGATGGAATTGAGTTCAATGTCCAACTAAAACAAATCTTCTGTCATATTGAGAATGCCATATTTGTTTTGGGCCACGTGTGTAGTGGTGTGATATGCGCAATGGATAGCCGAATGACTTAAAACATTCAAAAATAAATCTATGAACTCTTCAGTTGAAGCAAGCGTATCTAAAATCGATGCCCCCCCTCCTCCGTCCCTTTATGATCGTTGCCCCTTCCCTCCACAACTCCCGTCCCTTCATGGTTGACGCCCCCTTCCCTCCTCCTCCCCTTTCTGATCGACGCCCCCTCCCTGCTATCCGTCCCTTTACAATCGATGGCCCTCTTCCTCATCCGTCCTTGTATGATCGTTGCCCCCCTCTCCGTCCCTTTATTATCGACTCCCCTTCCCTCCTCCTCCCTCCGTCCCTACATGGTCGACGGCCCCTTTCCTCCTCCTCCCCTTTCTGATCCATGCCCCCTCCCTCCTCCGTCCCTTTATAATCGATGCCTCTTCCCTCCCTCCTCCGTTCCTGCATGATCGACCCCCCCCCCCCCTTCCTCCTCCTCCCCTTTCTGATCGACACCCCCTTCCCGCCTCCATCCCTTTATGATCGTTACCCCCCTCGCTTCTTTATAATTGATGCACCCTCCCTCCCCCGTCCTTTTGTGATCAATGTCCCTCCCTCGTCCGTCGCTTTAAAATCTGCGCCCCACCCCCTTTTCATCCGAAAGTAAAAGGAATAGACAGTCGAGAGCCTACTCTAATTTTATTAAAACACTTCTCTATTTTTTATCCACAGAGGACCTGACAAGGACAGCTGTCTAGTACTTCGGATGAGACGAAAAACCGAGGTCCCGTGTACACATTGGAATGCACGTAAAAGATCTCTTGGCAGTTGGAATTCGATATAAGAGTAGGCGATAGTGCCGCTCCCTCTGTATGGCGTATGCCCGTCTTCATTAGCCCAGTATAGGAGTAGAACAGTAGGACGTTAAACCAAATTTTATTTCATTTCATTTTTCATCCACCATAATTGTTTTCACGTCGGTGGTCTATTAAACTTTATATTCAACTGACGACAAGTTTTAATAGACGGGAAGGGAAGTTTTTATAATATAAATTTTACAAATGTCGACTTTAAAACAATTCAAATTAACACGTGGTGTGTTATATAATCTGTATTATCTACACGTGGTGTGTAATACACGATTCAAGTAATGGTCGCATGTGGAAACTATCATTCTTTTGTTCCTCTCGGATATCGCCGTCAGCCATTTATATGTTGATATGTAGGAGGTATTTGAGTTAATATGATATATTTTCTATAAAACACACTATTTCCTTATCGCACGTTTAAAATAAACCTTTTTTTGGCATCGTCTTTATTTTCAAAGAATATTCAAGGATGTTTTTTTAATGAATTTACTAGGATAAAGGCACTCTCACACTTTCCTCACACCACAAGGGGGTTTACTAGCATAATGGGTAAAGGCACGCCCACACATTTTAATTGATTCTCATACATATAGGGTAATAAGTGGCACATTTTATGCGTAAAGGCACTTTTCCACTTCAAGTGTTATATACTATGATTAGGTCATTTCGGGACCAATATATGGTTCAATATTATTTGGCCATTAGCGCCCCCCCCCACCCTGATAAAGACATTCTCACACTTTTAGGATATTTACTATGTTAAAGGCACTTTCACACATATATACTATGGTAAAGGCACGTTGCTACTTTAAGGTAATGTACTAGGATAAAGGCACCCTTTCACATCCAGGTTATACTAGATAAAATGACTCTCATACATCAAGGGATTTGCTAGGGAACAGATAATTTCCCCTTCTACTGGATTTACTAGGATAAGTGCAATAAAACTATTGTATTGTAATTTTGATATTTTACAAATCGTGGGTGAAAACAATCAGTAGCTTAAACCACTAATTGGACGACGATCGGCCTACAGGACATACAGTACCGAATCTGATTAAAATATAGATATTAGCCCTACAGGACATATAGTATCATCCACCAGTTAAATACTATTATAATGTTGTTACTCCACTCATAACACCCATGGTCCAATTCAAACATATTTACATGTTCGCTTGACCTGACAGTAGATCTATAGAGAATGAGAGTAGTCCTAGACTTGACAGTATGGTTGACAAATTGTAATGATAAACGGTGTTTTATATTGTAGGGAAAGGGCGAGCAGACGACATATTGGTTAGAAGGACGAACAGACGATAAAACAACACAGTTACGTAAATCCTTCCGCCATGATCACAAATTCTGGTCTAGAAAACGGTTAGTAAACCGGTCCCTGCACGCTAGATCGTAGTTTGGACAGTTCCGTGGAAAGATTGGTCCAGTCATATCCATCATTGGCAGATCCAAATTCTCGATTGTCAAGTACTGTCTATGGGCCAAGTTATATCCATCATTGGCAGATGCAAATTCTCGATTGTCAAGTACTGTCTCTGAGTCAAGTTAATATCCATCATTGGCAGATGCAAATTCTCGATTGTCAAGTACTGTCTCTGGGCCAAGTTATATCCATCATTGGCAGATGCAAATTCTCGATTGTCAAGTATTAGGATAATAAACGAAGTCTCGGACATTGTCTAGGCCACTTAAAATCTAAGCCATCCGGCGACCTCTTGTAATATTATCAAATGTTAATATGATAATTGATATATTATTTGAAGCCAGAATACTCCGCGGTATAAGCATAGCTCTGGTATACTGAATGTTTAAATAAACTGTTGTTATTTTATAGGTATGTAGATAGCGGATACAACTGTTATGATCATCTTCTATCTAGTGATGGTAGCAGTGATAGTGTCGTGTCCGTCACCAGTAAAACTGACTCTAAACGAGAAGGTCGACATTCGAGACGTGGTAGTCAAGATAAATGATGGAAGTAAATAGTGTAATATATTTAACCAGTGAGACGTTGGTGAATCGAAATATGGCAGTCAAGATACACACGGTGCCTATTCTACATTAAGTTACACAAGATTCCAGATACACAAGGTGTCGATAGTGTTGGGAAAATATAGTTCATTAGGATTAGTGGGAGTTGGGGCTGGGTGGGGGCAAAGTCCAGCTTAACCGGGGCGGGGCCCCTTACGCGACGGAAAGATTATTTCATATCCTTTTGAATGGGTTTTAACCAATCACAGAGAAGGTTGAGGGATTGCAGACTCACGCAGTCTCCGCCCATGGCGCCGCTAGATGCCTAGAGCAATCACCGAATGGAACTTCACATACATGTACAAGGCCGACTGATAGCTCAGTATCCGCCCTCGCGCCGCTAGATCGATTACCGTGAATCTTTCATCTGGAAATTGATTTTTTTTCTCTTTAGGCCATGAACCATGGGGCCCCTAAACAGCGGGGCCCTGGGCCCCTAAGGTCCATGCCTAAGCTGGACTTTTGGTAGGGGCGAATGGTTATCGCCAGTGTCAAGTGACGTGGTTTCAATAGATGAGGAAGGTTTGAATTGACATTTTCTGCCAGGTTTTGGTAAATATTCATAATTTATTTAGGTGGAAGGATAACAGAGTTAACAGGTTGTTTACGGTGATATGTACGGCAAATAGTTACATGTTTTTAGTATGCTAACTTAAGTTTGTGTATCTCGAATGGTTGGTGGTAAGCCCCATGCAAATTTTGGTGCAAGGACATGACCATTTCTTTCTCTGTCTGTAGTGAAAAGCATTCAGCCCAAAGAAAATTTGCCGAAAAGTTCAAGCTAGGCAAAGAGATTGAATTAACATTGTAACTTTAGTCTTGTTTATTAAAAGTACAATTTTAACTATTTATCTGAGTTTTCGGCGTCATGTGTTGAAATAAGCCACAACGGCCAGAATACTTCGGCATATGTTACGAAATTATTTAACGAATTAAAATAAAAATGACTATTTGACCGAGTTTCATCACATCTCACTCAATTAAAATAAAGATAATTTTGTCAAGAAATAAAATTGCCAATTGAATTAAATACAAACAAAAATCTGTTGGTTAGAACACAGGACAAGAAACACAGTGGTTATCGTTGTTCAATAATACATTTCAAATTGTTCACTTGGAATCCCGAGTGAAATGATTTTGTTACATTCTGAAGTTTGTGATTCGATAAGAAAAGACATCTGTTAGAATAAAACATATATAACTTTTATACACCGTGTCTGTTGTTTGATCTCTTTCAAATGAATGAAATAATACTGTTTAAACTAACCAGACCCGGTTCTGTGAATGAAATATTACTGTTTAAACTAACCAGACCTGGTTCTGTGAATGAATGAAATATTGTTTAAACTAATCAGACCTGGTTCTGTAAAGAACAGTGGAGACGAACGACTGGTCCCCGGGTCAATTCACTTGATTTGATGATTGTAAGTTTTTCATTTATTATTTAAATTGTATGTGTATGTTGTGTGTGTTGTCCACGTGTTTCTCATGAGTGTATTTTGTTTATGTGTGGTGCGGTCCTCCTGCCCTATCAGTAGACTAGTATATACCTATTGATCCTCCTGTCCTGTCAGTAGAATAGTATATGACTTCTTATTAAGCTTGTACATGAATATGTCACCTGTCCTATTTGTAAACTAGTATATTATGACTGTTGTTACTCACCTTGTACATGTCACTGTGTATTAAAGATACAATGTATATAAGAAATATTATATCACCTATTCTTTTGTTGTTGGTGAGTGCATGTCTTTTATGGAACAATCTGCCTTTTGATATAAAGATGTGTAAAAATGTTGAAAATTTTAAGATTAAACTGAAAACTCATCTATTTTGCACACTGTAGGAACCATAATATTCAACTGATGACATACTTATTATTTTTAACTTGCAACAGCATTCTATTTTATTTTGTGTGTAATTATAGTGTTCTTCCTATATTCTACTTGTATAATGTATATGTTTTGTAGTTTGGGAGTGACTTATCAAACTTCCCACTTTAAAATGCTATTGCATTTCTAATGATTTTAAATTTATCCTGATATTACATGTATATATGTCTTTGTAGTTTAGGAGGGACCTATGGAAGATTAGTTTTTTTTTTGCAAACTAAATACGTTGCCTCATTAAATAAAGTTTTTATTATTATTATTATTATAGTGAAGCTATAAATATATACACCTGTATAGGTAACATACAGGTAGCCTATAGAAATATGTTTATAATATATATCTAACATACAACACAACATTATATACAAATTATAAAATTAATACACAACATTATGTCTGGATCCTAAACAATGGCTACCTCCTATTATTACAGTTGTCCATTCCTCTCAAATTTCAGTATCAAGCAGATTAGAAACTGATTGAAATGTCTGATAAATACTACCAGATACAAACAGTTATGTACTATTCTGTTTTCCTGTACTGTCTATGTTTTACTGTGCAGTTCTCCCGTATTATAAAATCATGTACAAGTTAAGAGAAGATGTATAAAATTATAATGAGTGCTGCCTTGGTTAAAACCACTGAAACATGTCTACAAATCACTGAACAAATCTTCAGGATCTATATTAGATACATTAGAATTATTAGAACTACTTTTACTCATCCGACCTCGACCACCATCATAACTAAAAATATAAATATATATATATTATATAAATTATATGAATGATTGAGATTAAATGAAATAAAATGGGGTTTAACGTCTTACTGTTCTGTTCTGTTCTGTTCTGACAGGGCTAATGTAGATTAAGGGGGTTGGATGGTCTAGGGGTTTAACGTCCTACTGTTCTGTTCTGACAGGGCTAATGTAGATTAAGGGGGTTGGATGGTCTAGTAGTTTAACGTCCTACTGTTCTATTCTGTTCTGACAGGGCTAATGTAGATTAAGGGAGTTGGGTGGTCTAGGGGTTTAACGTCCTACTGTTCTGTTCTGTTGCGACAGGGCTAATGTAGATTAAGGGGGTTGGGTGGTATAGTAGTTTAACGCATGTGCATGAAATCACAAGGTCTGTAATTGAATCAGGTGGTGGGTTTCGAATCCCCACTTAAATGTGACAGGAATCAGGTTGCCTGTCTAACCTCTGTTTTTTTTTGTGACGGACCTCCGGTTTCCTTCCACTGCTAAAGACCCTACGCGCAAGCATTAGTTACGTCTCATTGGACGTATTTCTAGTTACTCTAGGTAAAATAGGTTTATATCATTAATTACCTCTCATTGGACGTATTTCTAGTTACATTAGGTAAAATAGGTTTATAACATTAATTACCTCTCATTGGATGTATTTCTAGTTACTTTAGGTAAAATAGGTTTATAACATTAATTACCTCTCATTGGATGTATTTCTAGTTACTTTAGGTAAAATAGGTTTATAACATTAATTACCTGTCATTGGATGTATTTCTAGTTACTTTAGGTAAAATAGGTTTATAACATTAATTACCTCTCATTGGATGTATTTCTAGTTACTTTAGGTAAAATAGGTTTATAACATTAATTACCTGTCATTGGATGTATTTCTAGTTATTTTAGGTAAAATAGGTTTACTTGGTGTCGCTGTTCTTACACTTCCTCTCTTTCTAGCTGACCTTAAAAATACAACATAATAACCATAATATTCACATATAGTTACCATAACAACCATCTGACTCAACACTGAAACCCTAGTGTATGAGTAATCTGTCTAGTGAAACCCTATTGTGTATAAATTCTACCTTTTAACTATTGTAGAAGATGATGATGTAATCTCGTCCTCCCCTAAATCTAACGAAGAATCTAGATCACCAGTTTTACGTCCCACATTCTTTCTATGACGTTTAGGTGGTGGCGTCTAAAATAAATAAATAATATCACTTTATATAGTACTTTGAATAGGTTTTCATCATTCAATAAATATTGATTATTGATATCATGTAATATTCAAAAATAAACAGAGTACTGAAAGGGAAGTAACTCTATTAGTAAGTGCAGAAGGACCGCACTACACGCAAAACAAAAATCTACAAGATAAACCTGCAGACAAGACAGAAAATAGACATTGCACCAAATAAGCAAACATCAAATCAAGTGAATGATTTTATATAACCTACCTCTTCCTCATCTGTATTTTCTTCTTTATCGCTAGAAAATAAAAACAATGGTGATCAAACACAGACTACAAAATCTAAATTTTTTCAAATAATGGGACTACTGCTGGCTTTCAGTAACAAATCATCAATATTGTAGGTGTTCAATAATTAAGGTCTATTTATGTAGCCAGGTACATGTAATGGCCAGGTGTTCAATAATTAAGGTTTATTTACCTTTCTTCTTTATTTGTTTCAACCCGTTGTTCTCTGTTTTGTCTTCCATTTCGAGTAGAATTCGACTGTGACACTGTAAAATGTAAAATATAATCTTATCATCTTCATTTCTATTTTTATATTTTTCAAACCAATGTGTCTATACATGTTTCATACATGTTTTGTTTGCTATGTCTGAATTCTGCTGTGCAGTTTTCCTGAACAGCCTATTAAAAGCAGAGCAAACAAATCAGAATACTTTCAAAAGAATGTTTTTTGTTTTTTCTGGTAAGGTTAATACCAGACTGGCTAATACAGTTGACGACCATACCACCACTGGTTAATACCAGTTATGCTATTGTTCACAATTGATACCAGACTTGCTGTCCTACAGTTATATCATGCTATTGTTCACAATTGATATTATTTTTCCTTTTGTACCAAAGAACCAGACAAATCTACCCTTGGGCACCTCAAACCTTTTTACCTTGTTAAAGATTTCAGTACTATAGACCAAACACAAAAATTATTTTTCTAAGATACTGCTACATCATTTAAAGAGAGCCTACCACCTGTTTTAATTTTAAATAAAGAACAATACAAATGGTCTCATTAATTATCGCATCAAATTGTTTTCTCCGGGTAAACTTGAATGGAAATGCATAAACATTGTAGGCTCAATCACCAAGTAAGCATCCCTGATAAATGTTATTGACAATAATACTGGATAATCTCAGGGTTTTTCTGCAGGTCCTTTGGTTTCCTCCTGTTGTTAAACAAACAGGTGAATTATTAACATGAGAGCACCATATGTTAGTCTCAACATGATCTAGTCAGTGTTAAGTTGATGTTAGTCTCAACATGATCTAGTCAGTGTTAAGTTGATGTTAGTCTCAACATGACCTAGTCAGTGTTAGGTTGATGTTAGTCTCAACATGACCTAGTCAGTGTTAAGTTGATGTTAGTCTCAACATGACCTAACACATGAGCAAGTTTCCAAAAGAATAAGAAATACAGATTTTAATTCCTTCATTTATACCCTCAGAAATAAAATGGGGTTTAACATCCTACTTTAACAGGAGACCTCCAGGTAAATAAGCCAACGTTTCACCCACTGAGCCACTGTGGCTCCCCATGTATATGCTGGGTGTGAAATAAAGATTTAGTCATCATAAATAAAACGGAATAAGAGTTACCTGATGTTCCATCATCTTTCTCATTATCATCACCATCACCTGTAATAACACATCAAATATAGCACGAGTTAGTGAGCGCTTGATGTATATGTTGATAAACTTGATCGTGCAACAGTTTCTGACTTAAAAACCACGGAAAAAAACTAGGGCAGTGGATAATCCAATAATTTATTGGGCTTCGATATTTGTAATAAACAGTCAGCGATTAAAGACAGCATCGTCTTGTATATGCAATGAATTCTCCTCCGGCTTCGCACCTGTTGCTAGGTACCGAGACATCTAAGTCACTTGACACAAACATGACCTCTTTTGATCAATTTTTTATAGCAAGGGTATTCCATGACAATTACAATGTTTTGAGAAGGATCTGAAGCAAAATTATAATAAATTAATTGATTTGAATATGTTTTTAAAAGTAATATAAAAACATTTTTTAACTGAAAATAATTATATGTAATATAAAAATCATTCATATTTGAGTCAAACTCATAAATCTAATAACAACTTGAGTCATATTAAAATATTCCCTGTAAACAAATTATTATACCATATGTTAATTGTGAAATGATCTTGTTAGTTTCAAGTGGATGTTAAACCCTAAAGTCTCTCTTACCTGAACCATTTTCTTTTAAATTTCTTATTTTTTCTTTTTTACTATTTAATATGGCCACAAACTAAAAATAAAAGATATTTATGTAGATGATAATAATTAACCGGGAGATCCTGACTTTGATCTTGGTGTTTGTCGAGAAGGTTTCTTGAGATTTTCCAGGATGCTTTCCTCATGTCACTGGTTCAGCAAGGAAAAGGATGAAAATTGGTGGTCCATTGAGTACGAGATGGTGTCCACATTAAGGAAGATCCAACAACTCGAATTTGATCAAGAGTAGGCAGAAACTACACTGTCCAGTAAAAATTACCATCACTAGATGATGTAAGCCAATCTTCAATAGAAGGCTTGATTTTGCTTTAACTCTGTAATCTTATCAAGTCTTTCACGTAATACCCTGCATATTTCATCATTAATTGCAGGTCGCCATGTCTGATTTGAGTGTTTATGTGTCCTGACCTCTGATTGCACAACGCTACTGTTCATCTGTGTGCAGTAAAGGGAGATAATGGCTAGATGTTGTAAAACTTGCAGTCATTGCTTCAGGAACATGGTGCTATCCAGTCAAAATTTCTGTCCATTAAACCAATTTTCCTCCTTCAATAACCCGTGGTACAGGAGAGTTAGACAGTAAATCATATTTAGTTTTATTCTAGCCCTAACCCTCAATAACTCGTGGTACAGGAACCTTAGAGAGTAAACCTTATTTAGTTTTATTCTAACCCTAACCCTAACCCTCAATAACACGTGGTACAGGAACGTTAGACGGTAAACCTTATTTAGTTTTATTCTAGCCCTAACCCTAACCCTCAATAACCCGTGGTACAGAAACGTTAGACGGTAAACCATTTTTAGTTTTATTTAATAAAATATTTAAAACTAAAATTAAGAATCAGATTTTCTTATTGTGTCTTTTATTACACAAATACAAATGATAAATCATTCATACTTGGATGACATGTTATTTACCTTTGAAAATAAATCTTTTTCCATTTCTTCTTTTGCAGCAACACATTTTTCTAGCCTCTATAAAAGAAAAGTTGAAATTGGAAACAAACCTACAGAGCTGTTATTTTTTGTCATTGGGAAGAATTGTCATATGGTTAAAAAATATTTCAATAATTCACTTGCACGTAAGTGTCTTTAATAGAGGGAGGAAACCAGAGGTCTCAGGGAAAACCAACGAGGTTGACAGGCGACTCTACACCTTAATGTGAAAATATTTAAAAATTACTGATTCACGAAATGTCAAAATAATAATCTAAAAACATGTAGAATGGACTAAACAGGCCCAAACGACTGCCATTCAATTTGGACTATTCAAGTATTTCACCAAACATAAATGATTAGAAATTTCAAAATAATTTTTTTCAATTTTCACTCATCCTAGGTATCCTCAGTGGTATCATTCCGTTCTACTCCACCATACCCTGGGTTCATTCACGGGGGAGACACAGTCAGTATCCTCAGTGGTATCATTCCGTTCTACTCCACCATACCCTGGGTTCATTCACAGGGGAGACACAGTCAGTATCATCAGTGGTATCATTCCATTCTACTCCACCATACTCTGGGTTCATTCACGGGGGAGACACGGTCAAATTATCTGCCCTTGATACTTGTGCTATTTTTATCGACCAATCGAGTGGGTGAAGGGAATGTAAACAATGACGCTATGACTCGTATGTAAACTGTTTTTTGATTGGTTCAGAGTATAATGAAGTAGAATGAAACCCAGGGTATTGTGTGGAGTAGAATGGAGGGTATTGTGTGGAGTAGATATCACTGGGGATACAGAAGATGATTTTCACTATACGTACACACTTATTACATTAATATCTGCATTTTGGAACCGGGAATCACGTGGCTAAATGGGTAAGACGCTGGCTCGCTAGTCTGGAGGTCGGGTGTTCAATCCCTGCATTGGCCGAGAAAGTTCATCCAGATTTTCCAGCGTGGTTCCCCCTTGTCAGTGATGCAGGACGGAGGGCCTGACAAAGACAGCTGTCTAGTCCTTCGGATGAGACGAAAAACCGAGGTCCCGTGTATGTATTGGAATGCACGTAAAAGATCCTCTGGCAGTTGGAATTTGATATAAGGGTAGGTGATAGTGCCGCTGCCCGGGCAAAATTTCCCTCATAGCACACTGTATGGCGTATGCCCGTCTTCATTAGCCCAGTATAGGAGCAGAACAGTAGGACATTAAACCCCATTTCTTTTCATTTCATTTCTGCTTTTAGAACCATTTTCAACTATTTTAAGCTTCCAAAGAATAGTCGAGCCATACACACTTTAAACAAATAGATTATTATCTTATGAGGTGGGAAAATATTACAGCCATCACGTTGAGACAATATTACCCAAAGGCTTCACAATTAACGGCTTGGAACAGTTGCTCATGCTTGGTGAGGGTTCGCACTGCTCTTGTATATATATATATATATTTATTTATGTTCATACATGCCTGATAACGACTTGTGAAATCTTGTTGAAACGTCACAGTGAAATAAACCATAGTAATTGTTATTTGAGACAGTACTACATTGTAATCAACTAAAACGACAACGCTCGATCTCGGTCGCTAACGATTAAATAAACAGATTATTATCTTATAAAGGTGCGTAAATATTACAGTAATATCAAATATATTTTAAATACTACAGTAATATCAAATATATTTTAAATACTACAGTGTCATCACCTTTAACGCCATCATCCGTTCTTGTGACAGTCTGTTATTATCTGTTTCTAGCTGTTTAAGTTGATGTTGATCTCGTTCACTGTTGACTATGCTATGATTAAATATCGTACATATACCAGTCCCTGGGTCATCTTTTAACATTAGAGTTATACATCCTAACTGAAACTATAAACATATACCAGTCGCTATAAACATATACCAGTCACTATAAACATATACCAGTCACTATAGAACATATACCAGTCACTATAAACATATACCAGTCACTATAAAACATATACCAGTCACTATAAACATATACCAGTCACTATAAAACATATACCAGTCACTATAGAACATATACCAGTCACTATAAACCTAACCAGTCACTATAACCCTGCTATACCGTACTGAAACTATATTGTATATACATTATTAATATAATAAACTCCAGGAATTCAAGAATTGCTAGAAATACCATCACTCCTCCTAATGCCTGCAACAAGATCTAAATATCTGTAAACTATTGAAATACAATTCAATCCCTGCATTGGCAAAGAAAGCTCATCCAGATTTTCCGGTGTGTTTCCCCCTTGTCAGTGATACAGGAGGGAGGGCCTGACAAGGACAGCTGTCTAGTCGTTCAGATGGTATGAAAAAACGAGGTCCCGTGTAGACATTGGCGTGCACGTAAAATATCCCTTGACAGTTGGAATTCGATATAAGAGTAGGTCGTAAAGCCGCTGTCTGGGCAAAATTTCCCTCATAGTACACTGTATGGCGTATGCCCGTCTTCATTAGCCCAGTTCGGAGCAGAACAGTAAGACGTTAAACCCCATTTCATTTCATTTCCTTGAGAGCGTCCTTTTTCAGTAATTATCGGAAATCGTTGAAAATCAATAGTGACCATAAACACTGTGTATGAATTACTTTAGCCTCTAGAAGGTCCACAAGTAATTATGGACGCTGGACGGACGGAGGTGACGACAATATTTGACCGTATTTCAATGTGGGCGTATGAAAAGTGAACAAACAATTTACCTTAATATCATCTGAGGTGACGTGTTTCTTCCACACCAATTCAGCCGTATCATCATTTTTAATTTTAACACTGTATTCAAAATTCACTTCATCATCATCTTTGATGAAAGCTTTTTCTGTTTGATTAAAATACGACGTAAAATCCATTTTTAACCTTTTACGCTGTTTGTCCATATTATCAGCTGAAACTATAATAAAATGGAATTTAAAGATACATTGTCACAAAAGTATTAATCGGGTGGATATTTCCAATAAAAGTATGGCAAATTTGGTATATATGAAAAATATAGACCCACAATCTTACTAGAAAAATACTGGTTTATCCCAAAAATACCCATGGGGCAAGAACTGGGCAAAAATGTCAGGGTTTAACTAACTGGCAACCCGACTGTTGTCTGCCAGCTTATTGTGTGCTAGCTTGACTCAGGAAGCGGTTGTTATTTCTTGATCAAATGGTTAGGTGGTTTTGGGAACATTGAGGGGTGTCAACGTACATACAAATGACTCAGCAATTAAAAGTCGGAAAAAGTAGTTGAGAGAAAATCTTAGTCTAAATCTATCATCAAATCAGACATTTTTATACTCAGATAATTATTTTAAGTGAAAATGGTGTGGCTTATGTAGGATGGTTGTAATATGACCAAGAAGAGGGACGTTCAGCTGGTATGTAGGATGGATGTAATATGACCAAGAAGAGGGACGTTCAGCTGGTAGATTGCTCAGAGACCCATAAATATATATTTAATTCTTTTTAACGCCGGCATGGCTGGTATTCCTGCTGCAGAATAGGAATTGGGAGTTGGTTGAAAATAAATATATTGTAATTTATTTATGGTATCAATGTTCTTGTTGATCCCTATATCACACCATGTATACAAGTCCCTATATCCCCATGTATAACTTACAAGTCCCTATATCCCCATGTATACAAGTTCCTATATTCCCATGTATAACTTACAAGTCCATCTATATCCCCCATGTATACAAGTTCCTATATCCCCCATGTATACAAGTCCCTATATCCCAATGTATAACTTACAAGTTCCTGTCCATGTTGATTGTCCATCCGTTAGTAACAAGCTAAAACCATCTTCTTTATCCACTGGTATCGTCGTTAACAGAAAAAACTGCCGACTTCCAACGGTTGTAATCTTTGAAAGAACCTTTTTACTCATGCTTTTATTTTAAACTAAAACAGATATAGTGGATATTTATTAAAAAGCTAAAATTAATGGAGTTGCTATAGTGGATAATTATTAGAAAATTAAAATTAAAATGAATAGAGTTGATATCAACGCGTGAGATTGGGGATTCATTGATGATGTCATGAGACTAAAATATATGATCGAATCAAGCCTACTATAGTACTATGTCATTATTGGGTACATCGACCTGCCTAATATAGAGCAAAGTTTTTTTCTGGCTACATATAAAAGTATAACTACAACCGACATAGACTGTTGGCTTCAGACCAGAACTAAATATACTGGGTAAAATAGATAATGTGCATGTTAACATAGTTAGAGTTATCTCCTCTCTACCAAATCTCATCCAAGCGAAATTACGTAGTTAATTCATCACTGACGTCATATATATATATACATTACACAAAGTCAATGAAATTACATGTAATTATCATACTGTTTTTGATTTTTAACAAAATTAATCCAATACTGGCCAATACTCATGCAAATTAACTTAAAAAAACAATTTTGAAATTCACATGGAATGAAATTGATTATATTTTTGTGGTTCACTGATTGTGGAGGTTTTATATTTGACAACAACCAACGTCGTTCTACTCATCAGGCTATGCCTCAGGGGCAGATCCAGGAATATTGACAGACGAGGGTTTACCCAGTACCTGAGATATTAAATCTTTGGGGAGGGATCTAAATAAAAATCAATTTGGAAAAACGAAATTATTTTACATTATTTGTACATCACTTGAGAAACTTATGAAGGTTTTATATTTAACAAAAATCGCTCTACTCAGGCAATGCCTGTAACATATTAAAATTTGATGACAATTATTAAATGAAATGAATGAAATGGGGTTTAACGTCCTACAGTGTGCTTTGAGGGACATTTTGCCCGGACTGCGGCACTACGGCATACTCTTATATCGAATTCCAACAGTCAAGGGATTTTTTACGCGCACGCCAATGTGTACACAGGACCTCGTTTTTTTGTCTCATCCGAATAACTAGACAGCTGTCCTTGTCAGGCCCTCCTTCCTGCAGACAATTATTAACAATTATTACTAGAATAGTACTAATCTGACTGGAGAATATCAAAGCCTGGGTTGTGGGTAGGATCGGGGGACTAGATCAGATCATTCATACTGCTGAGTGAGTGAGTGAATGAATCAATGATAATAATGATTATATACGATGGATCTTTCGGCATCCACATCAATGAGGCGGGTATCAAAATGGTATTTGAAGAATATATTGACACGTATAAAAATTCAATCTATAAAAAAAATAACCTGTTAACCTCTGTAATTTAATTATTTCACTATAAATTTATAAAGTTTGTTGTTTATTTACAAATTTCTCCACTTTTGACAGCCATATTGTAACAAAACGTCAGATTAGTAAATTTAAACGAAACGAAATATAAAATTATACATCTGTGACCTTTCAGTCTATTGAAAATAGAAATTTGCAAACTTTTTGGCAATACAAAAAAAATAGTATTCTGAGATTTATTTCAAAGAAATAATTTTTAAAAGGTATAATATTTCTGATATCATTCCGTAGTAGATTAGTTGATAAATTTTTGATTTAGGTTAAATTTAATACTAGCTAAGGGAGACTAACTTGGCACAATGCATTAAATGACTCAAAGATCGCGTCTCTTCTATCTTGTAAACTTTGATTCTATTGGACGATATAAATAGATGATCCACTCAAAATAAACTTTATCGGTTTTCGGCCAAATCAACACGTTGTCCTTTCTCATGGTCTACCGAAGAAAATGGTTAGTAAATTTGTCAATTAAATATCATTGAATATTGAATATTCTATTAGCATTTTTACATTTTACAATGATACAAAACGTCTGATTAATATAGCACACAAAGTTAATGACGGGAAAACATGTGTGATCCTGTTCTATTACTTCATTAACGAAACCCGACTAATCATGAAAATGATAAATTGAAAGTAAGACTATCAATCAGCTGCTGCAGCTGAGCTGCATTAGATTTGTCTGTTCATTACTGCAGCAATCAACGTTGTTCTGGTTTTATGGACTAAAATGTTTTAAGTGTGTCTCGAACCTATGCCACCGAATATAGAATAGAAAGATATAAACTGTGGTGTCTGATTAGCTACAATTAAATGTATCGTTAAACTGTGCTAAATTCATATACAAAGTAAAGTTGTCTTAGATTACAAAGTTAGAGAGTTCTACTCCAGTTTGAAATGTGAGTTTAAAGCATCCGAAAACCTGAAAAAAATTACTGATTTTATGATCCGTTTCAGTACCCTAATTTCAAATGGCCATATCTCAGCGAGTTTGCAGAAGAGAGGTAAAATTTCGGATTTCCTAGTTTAAGGCCATATACTATAACATATATTTTTTATAATTTTTTTGGAGGGGGTCATATGTTCCCACCATCAGTCCAGTTGGTATGGAATGACCCTATAATGGTTATTAAAAACTTGCCTGCGTGTTTGAAATCATTGCAAACACAACTTCCAGGTCACTTTAAATCAACATTGATGCTTCTAAGTTCTGATATTCAATATTTAAGACAAAATGAAAATTTTAAAAAATTGGCACACGAATCACTTGTCAGAATGCTTTTGAGCACCATTTGTAATGATTTGACTTGATCCACGAGGGTAAATATATATATACTACCTGTGTAGCCTGGAATAACCCAAGGCAAAACGACTTCCATTGAATTCTGACTCTTCAAGTATTTCGCCGATCATACTGTGACTGATTAAAAATTACAGTAAAAACCAAAACGATTGGTGGGGGGGGGGGAGGGTCTAGTGGTTCAAGGTCTGTTATTAGCTCGTTTACACTTGGCTGCGATAAGCGTGACGTTCTCATCACAGTACCAGGCGGCGATAAATTTCAAGAAATTGACCTGTTTACATTACTCTAAAATAACCGATCTCAGAGCCGTACCAGGCACGCCAAATGTGGAACTCTTCACAGAAAAGTTAATTTCAGTTCCTATGCAAATTACCCGGATGAAAACAATTCTAATGGTTGATTTAGTTTGAGCAACCATTTAGACAGAACTGTCAAAGTTCACGGGTCAAGGTTAGTTTGGCGCATGCGCAGTAATCTGTACTGAAACGGTGCTCAGACTGGATAGCGTTTACACTAAGAAAATTTAATTTTGCCGTGCCTGGCACCGTGCCGAGACCACCTCACTTGTGGGCCAGATTGTATGGCACGCTTAGGTTTGACCCGTTTACACTACAAAAAATTGCCGTGCCTGGCACGCTTAAAATTTGTAATGTAAACAAGGTTATTGAGTCAATTTGTGTGGTTTCGAATCCCCGCTTGAATGTGACAAGGAGTAGGGTCGCTTGACCACCAGAGCTTGCCCGCCCCACCCCTCTGTGGCTGATATGGTGGTCTACTTACCATTTCTACGTATCGTATATCCCCTAGCAGTGTATATTGTATATACCCTACGTATCTTTTATCTCCCAGCAGTGTATATCGTATATCCCGTAGCAGTGTATATCGTATAGCAGTGTATATCGTATATACCCTAGCAGTGTATATCCCCTAGCAGTGTATATCGTATATACCCTACATATCGTATATCCCCTAGCTGTGTATATCGTATATACCCTACGTATCGTTTATCTCCCAGCAGTGTATATCGTATATCCCCTAGCAGTGTATATCCCCATGCTGTGTATATCCTACACATACCAAAAGTTTAGTCTACTAATGTATATTTAGTTGTTACTGGTGAAAGATCCCCAGCTTGTGTTGCAGGATAAAAATGTTTGGTAAGAACAACCGTCGAGTCGTTCAGATGGAACAATATGGTAGCACATAAAGATCATTTGAAATTTGACAGATACAAATCATAGCAACGCTGTCCTGGAATAATTTAACACATGGCACATTGCATGATTATAACAATACCTGGACATACAGCACACCTGTCACAGACATTGTCACAAGTTATTATATGTTATTATATATATACCTGACAGGTATCTTTTACAGGTGTCGCTAACAGGTGTACCTTAATAAAGTATTTGTATACAAGTGACTCAAAATATTCTACTGATCAGTGAATCTTTTCTTTTTTTCTTTTTTTTCAGTCGGCCTTGTTTAATTTCCAGAGTTTATTAACGGTTTTATTATTATTGATATGTACCTGTACTTACCTGAGATCTATTATACCTAGTATAATTGATAGAAATAAAATAGGGTGAGTACTCTCAATAGATCTATTATCAGTGATGTTAGACAGTGGGCAACGTATAGTTGTTCGGATGGGACCTCAGAGGTTTCATGTACACACTGGCGTGCATGTAAAAAAAAGAACTCTTGACAGTTGGAAAATTGAAATAAGAGTAAGCTGTAGTGCCGCTGTCCCAGCAAAATTTTCCTCATGACACACAGTATGGCGTATGCCTGTCTGTCTTCATTAGCCCATTAGGAGTGGAACAGTAGGACCTCATTTCCTCAGTAACTTTACAATGTTTATAGGGGAGTTGGATGTCCGAATATTTTCGATTCTTCGGTGTTGTTCAAGGAGTAGGGTCACCTGTCTAACCTCGTGGATGTTCTGCAGGTCCCCCGAAATGACCTAGTTTATGTGAGTGGATCTTAAACGCCATTTCTCTCTCTTGCAAATTTAATAATATTTTTTTTATTTGTTTATAAGTGTTTACTTACTGTACTTTTTACATGAATGCTTTAAAATCATTGTAGGCATCATCCTTTTCTTATTTCAGTTTTCTAGGAATATTTTGGAAATTTGCAAGAATAGGTAAGTCTCTATATTGAAATCTACATGTCAATTGTCGTCACCCTCAACCCATCCATCGTCCACATGTCTATTGTCGTTACATCACCCTCCCCTCAACCCATCCATCGTCTATATGTGTATTGCTGTCACCCTCAACTTTTCATTTTCATCTGTTACTGCCAATAGCGGGGAAGGGGGGGGGGGGCTGCTGGTTAAACGTCTGCTATTGTGTCAAGTGGTGTGATTCCTATCTGCCCCCCCCCCCAATTGTTTTTTTGGGGGAGGGGGGTGTCTGAATATTCTCTAGCTGTTTAAAACCTGTACATATCCCAATATGCTGCATGTTTTAGTTTAACCCTGTAAAATATGCCAAAACAGTGTTTACAGACCCACACTTGTATATGTATGTGACAAGGAGTAAGGACGTCTGTTCATCCTTTTGGGTTGTTACCGGTTTAATCCCACAGCTCAAAGACTCTATGTGCCAGCGAATTATTGAAATAAAATTGAACCATATGTTAGTCCCGAAATGACCTAGTTTGTGTCGAGTGGACTTTAAAACCTCTCTTTACAGCAGAGTCTGATCACTTTAAGAAATCTTATGGATGCTCTATTAATTAAGTGACTCTTGATTTGCACTTTGTATAATAATCATTAATACTAGGAAGAACTTGTGGACAACACAAGAAAACAACATCTAGTTGTTTGGATGGTGTGAAAACCCTGAAGACCAGTTGTGCATGTTAAAGAAGCCTTGAAAGTTAGAATTTGATGAAGAGTAGACACAAACGCAGCTCTCAGGGCAAATTTCCTTCATGGCATACTGAATGGCGTATATATACATTAGCCTAGTCGGATGTTAAACCCCATTTTCATTTCCGGTATTAAATTATTTTACACAATAAAGATATTTTACTGTGTTTATATTACATAATCAAGATATTTTACTGTGTTTTTCAGGTGAAAGAAAAAGTCCATATGTAGCTGTTTGTTGTATTTCCATGGCACTGAGTATTTTATTCTGGTCCTGATCCTGTATTTAATATATTAAATCAATGGACTAGTCCTATGTATAAAAGTAAACTAAACCTGATGATTTTATAACTGAGATGTGTTCAATATGGTGGAAGATGTCTATTTATTTATGGACAGGGTGCTCTATTTGTAAAAACATTTTTAGGACTTGATGTATTCACTTGTAAATATTTCATATTATTCATCACTCATTTAAAGGAGCAGTTCCAGATATATTTAAGTGAATAAAAGTGGTTAATTTGGGGTGAAAATCTCTTTGAATTTTTGTGGTATCGTTTCGAAGAAATACAAACTTTCATAAGTCCCTGAATTCCTGGCTGTGTAAGTGCCTGGTTAATCTTGTCTGTTTTTACTGAATTTGAAGTGGTAAGTGATAGTCACGAATAACAAGTCACTTAAACAATTGAAGAATGACATTCATAGAATGAGTTAAGTAACTCTGTTCATCAAATCTTATTTATGGTGAATCGTTAGATCTGGGGCTGTCCCTTTAAAATTCATGACTCCTCCATTTTCAGCAGATTCAGTAACAGTTGCCAAAGCATTCTCACATTTTTTAATGTTATTCAAATTACGTTTTTTATTTTTGTTCCAATTTGGACTAATTCCGTATCCATTTCCTGTTCTGTTTGAAACCAAGCTTTTAATTGTCATTGTTATTGGTTAATTACATTTTTGCTCAAAACATAACAGCTCCTGATTGGCTAGACGAGACATAACAGCTCCTGATTGGGTAGACAAGACAAAACAGCTCCTGATTGGCTAGACAAGACATAACAGCTCCTGATTGGCTAGACGAGACATGAAAAAAGAATATATTGTAGATTTCAGTCAAACCGATTTATTCTAAGTTATGAGTGTTTGAAGTTTTGGCAACATAATCTTGCTACCATAATAATTGTCAATATGTCAGCTATTCATTACATTATTGTATGTATAGGACCTGCTATTGTCTCCCTTGTCAGTGATGCAGGACAGAGAGCCTGACAAGGACAGTTGTCTAGTCGTTCGGATGGGACGAAAAACCGAGGCCCCGTGTACATATTGGCGTCGCTGTCCTGGCAAAATTTCCCTCATAGCACACTGTATGGCGTATGCCCGTCTTCATTAGCCCAGTTTAGGAGCAGAACAGTAGGAGGTTAAACCCCATTTCATTTACATTTCATTTGTATACAGTTTGTTTACATTCTGTGGTTGTAGTTTAATATCACGTGATTGATGATCCCGGGGTCAAGGCAGGATGGAGTATTCGAGGTAACTCGTGACGTCCATGTTGACTAAAGAGAAGGAGTTATTGTGTTGTTGTGTCAGTGATCTAGTAGACTAGTTACCTGTAAGGCTGTAAACTATAGTGTTTTAATAGTTTTGATTTTTATATCGTGTTTTATATTGGACTAACTGATCCATTCTGTATTTTATACAACCCGTGGAACAGTAAGACTGTAAGCTAGACTGTCGTATGTTATATCTGACTACTGATTGATTCTGTAGTTTTATCCTGTTTCAACTCGTATTTTATACAACATGGCTAAACAGACAGACAAGGAGATGTGTAGTATCTGTTTAAATGACTATCAAACACCTGTTTTGATAGATTGTCAGCATACATTTTGTTTCATCTGTTTAGAAGATTAAGTGAACAAAACCTCTACTAAAGACCAGTTCCAATGTCCATTATGTCGGTGTCTTATAGATGGGGGTATACAGCGCTTTAAACCTAAACTAAACATTGATGATAATTCTACTATTCCACAATGTGATGTATGTACTGAAGATACATCTCAATATTTTTGTCGAGACTGTGATCAATATTTATGTAAATCATGTAAAACCACGCATGATAAGATGAAAATTTGTAAAGACCACATTGTTTGTCGATATGATGAAAAACAAGTCTGTCAACAATCAAACGAACCAATGAAGGAAAAGACATCAGCCACTTTCGCCACACATCCGAAAGATTTCTGCCCAAACCATGATGGAGAGACAGTAAAAATTTACTGTAAAGATTGTTTACTAGCCGTGTGTTTCAACTGTTTAGTGGCCGATCATAACGGACATAATTTACAGAAGGATGATGTTAGACAAAATATCAGACAAGACTTAAAAACGCTGAATGAAGATTTAGAAAAACAAATTAGCAATTTTCAGAAACATGATAATTTGAATAGTAAATTGATTGAAGTAAAAAACTGTACTAAAACAGAGTGTGACAAAGTAGATGCACAGGTGGATAAAATCTGCTCAGAATTTCGTAAAATTGGAGAAAATGTTAAAAAGGAAATGCAGAAAACTAGTGAACAAGAAGAATCCAAATTGGGGAAATTAATGCAGGACATTAAAAGACTAACAGAAGATTTAAAAGCTAGTGTTAAATATTCAGTGAATGTTTTAGAAGATTCGTCTGTTGTTCAAGTTTTACAAAGGTTGCCTAAAGTTAGACAGGAGAACGATGAAAGTTGTTGTAGAAAATTGGATGTACCTGATGTAAGATATTCATCATTTCAAGTAGCAGAGATAGATAAAACTTTGTTAACTAATCAACTTGGTAAAATTGTAAGTTGTCATCAGAATATGATTGAAGATGCTTTTAGTGTGGATACTGTGTCAGGTTGTTGGTATTATGGTAAACAAAATGTAGTTTCAGGTTTTACATGGAGTATTGGTGTGGGTAAAGGATTCTCATCATCATTAGATGTTGTATTATACCTGGATGACGTAGAAGATAAAAGTATTATGTCATGTAATGTTGACGTCATATTTAAAGTTATAAATAAAACAGATGATAGACAATCTGTAGTTAAACAACATAATGAGACTGTTAAACCTGGTGGTGTGTCATACTGTGTTACTGATCTTATTGACTGGAAGAGATTCAGTAATCCTGTCAGTGGATTTATTGATGATCATAGAAACTTTACAATTCAAGTAACAATTAATAAAATAGCTGTCATTAAAAGACGTAAATAATTAGACTACTGTTATTCTGATTAAAACTATGTTCCTTCTAATTTGTATACACCATCATCGAAATGTGGTTGTATATTGTCGTCACTCCAGTCAGTCTGGCGTCCGATGTCCATCATTCCTTGTGAGCGATTGTTGGGGATCTACCAACTATTCGTTATGACGGTAAGTCACGTGTTATCTGACACAAATCACAAGAATCGTATAAACACACGTAGCTATTGACTACATCCATTCCTTTTAGTAACAGTTGTAACCGGTTGGTACAGTAATTAAGGAGAACGTTAAACTCCAATTCATTTATTAAAAGTTGTAATATGTCTATATGTTAGTCCCAAATACCCTGCTGGTTGATCGCTATATGTTAGTCCCAAATACCCTGCTGGTTGATCGCTATATGTTGCTATATGTTAGTCCCAAATACCCTGCTGGTTGATCGCTATATGTTAGTCCCAAATATCCTGTTTTATGTCTATACGTTAGTCCCAAATATCAGAGGCAGATTCAATGGGGGCGAGGGGCGCCCCCCCCCCTAATTTTCGACAGTGCCCTTTTCTACTGCTGAAAGGGCCTTTTCTCAGACTCAAATATGTCCGCCCCCAACCCGTTGTAGGGATCCCAAATGACTCAAACCATCGACTCAAACACACCAGTCTGGGAAATAGCTCTTGGAATGGCTACAAATGCAAGGAAATGACCGATAATTTTCTTGGGGACCCCACCCCCCCTTCAGCGGCGTGCCCCGTCTCCGCGGTCAATGCCTTCATTTTGCAGCGCCCCCCCCCCCTTTTCAAATTCCTAGATCCGCCCCTGAATATCCTGCTGGTGTATGTCAAGTGGATGTTAAACCACATCTGCACTCTCATATCGAATTCCAACTGCCAATGATTCTTTTACGTGCTTGCAAATGTGTACACATGAACACGGTTTCTCGTTCCACCGGATCTCGATTTGTCGCCCCACCCGAACAACTATAAACTGTTCCTTGTTGTTTTCATGGAGTTGTTTCTATAAAAAGCTGTTGGGGCGAATATTCCCTGTATAGGACATATCTGTCTTCATTATCAGTGTAGTAAAGTAGATCGTTAAACCCCATTTTATTTTATTTTAATTGTCAGTAAACTTTAATATATATCTTGTTAACAGAGCGCGTGCTAATCACAAGCAGACGACACAAAATAACATAAAACCTATACAGTATGGTATTCTATTTCAGTCACTTTCCACGTAATGACGCAATTTGTACTGAGTTTAAAGCTAAAATTCAACATTTCTACAGTTTCTAGTCCGATTATCCTGCATACGACACACAAATATATATCTTTGAAGGTAGACGTCGTGTTTTTAATCTATAGCTCAACTTTAAAAAAAAGACGCACTACATGCCTGAAATGGAACACCATAATACAGTATACGGACATTAATCGAAAACAATATTGTGATCTATATCTCATTTCAAACTCTTTTTAAAATGTTAATATACTGAATCACACGACGCTACGGTAAAACTTCTAAAGTATACTGACTTGATTCATCAGTTTATTTAACACGTAACCTGTTGATAATATTCTAAATATAGATCTGGCCAGGGGCGTACATAACACGTGACCTGTTGATAATATTTTAAACATAGATATGACGTGATAGGAAGATACAATGTGTACACAGGAGCTTGTTTTTTGTCCCATCTACACAACTAAACACTGTATTTTGTAACCGAATAGGGCTGGTTATAGAAAACCGCCTTTCCTGCGTTTTATTCTTAATAAAATACAACGTGAAATCGAGCAGTGGGGTTGGGGGGGGGGGGGGATAGGACGTCTTAGTGGTCTAGAGTGTCGCGCTTAGACCTCTATCTGGTTGGTCACATCTGACTTGTGGTCGTGGTTTCAATCAAGGGACGCCTTCTCAACCTAGCAGGTTTACTCCAAAAGACAAGACCCCAGCGCGTGCGCTAAGATAATGAAATAAGACAATTTGTCTGCAATATCGGTCAATGTCAAGCAATGGATCGAGAGTATTTTGATGCCGTGTAGTAGAATATTGCTACATATTTTCTCTGGTGCCAGTTTGCTTGATATTTGATTAGAATCTGATGACAAGAACAGTGGTATATATCGTTTCCATGGTTACTAGTACATCCCAGTAGAAAAAAAAAACCTTCTCACCCATGTATACTAACAAACACCTAGCCAGTCCCAGTAGTGCAGTTCTTGCCATGGCAAAGGGTATCATGAACAGAATATTAGTCACTGCCATGGCAACGAGTATCGTGAACACACAATAACAGAGAGAGAGAGAGAAAAATGGGGTTTAACGTCCACTCGACACAAACTAGGTCATTTCGGGACTAACATATGGTTTTTAAATTTTATTTTCATAACTGGATTGCGCGTAGGGGTCTTTAGCAGTGGGAGGAAACCGGAGGACCCGGAGAAAACCCACGAGGTTGGACAGGCGACCCTATTCCTTATCACGTACAACCGGAGAACCGAAACCCTGCCAGATGACTCAAATGACAGACTTTATGATACAGCGCGCACGTGCTAATCATTAATATTCTGCCATCCAGCCCCCACACAATAACAGACATTGTCATGACAATATGTCTCGTGCACAGACAATAACATTCATTGCCATGACAACATGTATCATAAAACCGACAATGACAAAACAAAACAGACATACTGCAAACTTAATAAATTTTATTACTTTAAAATTACATTCGTCTTTGGCAAAAAAATAAATTCAGAAAAAAAAATCAGTAAAATGAACTGGCAATTTATATTAAACAGAACATTTCTGATCATTCTTCATCAATTTGACAAGAACCATATAACATAGGAAGAAAACATGCTTACAGGTCATACACTATTTCATGACGTCAAAAAAATATGACGTCACATCCTGTCTTATTTGCAGAATTCAAATACGAGTATGCAAATAACTTATCAGCTGCAGCCATCATTACTGATCAGAGTGAATATTCGCTAGGCCGCTACAATCACTGATAAGGATGACATCAATGCGACTTAATGAGCCGCAATGTGCAGCCATTTACAATGCTACCAACGTACAACAGGGCCTTTATAGTGGGAGACGTTTTTCTATCAAAACACAATTTTATCAGACTCCTATCTGGGTAAAAAAATATAAATTGAGTCCACTACCTACTTGTGAGACTCAAAAGTTATGGCACAAAATACCCAGATGAAATCTTATTTCAGTTAACATATTAATAGTTTAACACAAAAATTATTAAATGCTGTCTTAAATTTGAGCACCACAAATTAATTATGATATTTGAAATATAATTAAAGCCCCCAGCTCAAATGTATTTGCTGGTTGTTTTTTTTTTCAAATATGATATATAAAAGTATACTCCTTGGTTTCAATAAAGACCTCTATTAAAATCCCAGCTAACTGATATATTTAATGGGGTTTTTTTCTCTATGATAAATAAAATGTATATAATAAAGTCCTCTATTGTTCTACTATAAAATAACCTCACAAAAAACAACCTATTTATTTATTTATCTATATAGATATACTATATACACCATGTACACTGTAAATATGATATCATTAACTTATGACTTTTATAAATAACATACACACACTGTATCCAGGGTATCATTTAATCTTGTGTATCTAGCACTAACTGTTTAATATCAAATCTGTGTTTAAAAATTTGTAAAAACCATTTAAAATCACCCAAAATCATCTAACTTGTACTTGTGTATCAATTAAAAGCTGACCACTGTTCAAAATTAATCATTATACATCAATAATCAATTTGGTTGTTTATTTTTTAACAGTGATTGAGAAATTAAATGCTTGTAAATTTGATACTCATTATAAAAATTGAATGGAATGGTCAGCTTTAAACTGGACACAAGTACAAATTAAATGATTTTAAACGATTTTTTAGAATTTTTAAACAAAGATTTGATATTAAACAAGTGAAAGAAATTAGTGCTAAATACACAGGATTAAAGAATACCTTGGTTACAGTGTTCGCGGTGTTAAGACCGTGACAATTGAATGATATACACCACTATTGTCCAGGGGCCTGTTTCACAAAATTATAACTAAGATAAAATCCAAATTTTAGTAATTTGATTGGATAAAATTAGATTGATTTTAGTGCTTAGCCAATTAAAATTGAAGTATCTACTAAAATTTGGATTTTATCTTTAGTTAAGATTTCGATAAATAAGGCCCTGGTTTCTGTATTCAATAGTGGCTGTTATAAATAGTCACTCTTTTACACTTATAGTGTCATGGTTTACATCTAGTTACACATCTACTAATTAATGACAACTGTATAATTTCTAACCACTTTCTATACATATTAAATATTAGTTTAGAGTAATGTCAAATATTTTCATTAGTCAAAGGTCAAAGTTCATAAGTTAATAGTATCAGTTTCACAATCATCTACACTGGAAAGCAAGAAATGAAATCAACAGTAACCTGACTTTCTGTGGTAACTATAACAACCTCTATCAGATCAAATTACCCTGTCTACAATTAGCACATCTTCAGAACAGAGAATAACATATGGTTCGATTTTATTTCAATAATTCGCTTGCGCGTAGGAATCTTTAGCAGTAGGAGGAAACCGAAGGACCCGGAGAAAACTCACAAGGTTGGACAGGCGACCCTACTCCAATTGTCACGTACAACTGGAGAATCGAAACCACGCCAGTTGACGCAATGTCAGACCTTATTATACAGCGCGCACGTGCTAACCATTTGACCCCCCCCCACCCAATCTCCAGGCTAGCGAGCCAGTGTCTTACACACTTAGCCACCGTGGCCCCAAAAGCAATAACATAATATAAAGTATAAACAGTACTCCATAGAATTAGGACCTGTTTATACCAGTTACTAAATATCATTGAAACAATTTACAACATAGTTGACTGATCTTTCAACATGGCTACCATTCAGGTCTGAGATAATTCTCTGGTTGCAGAATGTCAGATCCTGGTTAATTTCTTGTTTTACAGTATATTAAATATCATAATGTACCTGTAAAAAGCCCTCCACGACATTTTCACCAAAACAAGGTAAGAATCGGGCTACAAATGACAACAATGTTGCATAATTATTACACAGTAAAATATATATCCATATATATACAAGTAGCAAGTTCTTCCACTTAACAATATCATTATGTACAGATCTAAATAAGGGAGACCACTACAACTAAACTAATCTAAATATGGAGTAAGACCAGTAGTACTCTTCCTAATCAAGTCTATGTTAAATCAATGACATTTCTCGACCTATAACAAAATAAATGCTATTCTGCTCCAAATGGGCCAATGAAGACAGGCACACACCATACAGTGTGCTAGGAGTAAGGCTGTGCAAAAATATCGATATAATCGATAATCGGTAGAAGTTATTTAGCGATACGATAATCGATATTGAAATTCAAATATCGATTATCGGTATATTTACCTTCTGACGGCAAGTTACGGTCACTTTCACATGACTGAACTTGCCGTAGTCTGGCATGCAGACGAATGAACGAATACACAACGTCAACACAATAACTATTTTCCCCCTCTGCTTACAAACTGGCACATTTTAAATATATATTATTGTAAAAAAAACTAAACTTTAAGATTAAATACATTATTTTAATATTTTCGTTGTTTTTGTTGTTATTACTAGTTGAAACTAAAATAGGTCATGCACTTTGTGAACAATGACGATCGCACGTGATATAGTAAAATTAGAATTATCTCCCTTCTTTGCTCTTGATTGATTTGTCGAGAAATTGTCTGCTTTCACGATAAAACTAATTGTATTATTAATGATCAACTCAGCTTTTATTACTAAATCATGTCAGATACAGCCCATACAAACACGTTTTTGACTTCCCGGGAAAATATCTATATCTCTCGTAGTTTCTTGGAAGAATTCTACTTTGGTTTTCGTCAAAATTAACCAATCATAAAAATTCTACTTTGAAAGCTGGTAATTATTTTTTATTGTCCAATCAATAGACGCCTTCTATTATATTTTATTCTATTATAAGTAACACTGTGTGATCGCCAGTAACTTGCAAAGAGAAACCATGTATTGTCTTTGTATTTATCGGAGATATTGGAATAAAAAAAAGGTTCAAATGAATCAAGAACAAAACTTAGAATAATACTCAAGTTAATCCTACATTTAGCAACTAATTATTTTACATTAATTGATTTTTTTACGTACATCGGCACAGTATTAGACTAGGATAATAACACTACTGTAACTCGATCAACACAAATAACAGGTTGGTAAAGTTCGGTTTTTCCGGAAGAATGATAATCGATTATTATTAGAGCTCCTACGGTTAGGACTTTTTGTTATTCGAATAGCCGTAGCTATTAACCGGTTAGTAACCGTTAACCGTATGGTATCAATTTTAAACATAAAACAGAGCTTGTCAGGAGCTACGAGTCATTACTCGTGCGCACGCTATACTCGCGTTATAAAAGGCATTACACGCGCAAAAATTTCAGGAATTTTTTCAGACATGTAAAATTCTTTAATGAAAATTTAAACTATCTAAGGCCGTAGCTATTTATTTACCTGGTTAACTTGGTTCATTTGAAACATTTTTTTAATTCAATATAAAGATAATATACAAAACAATACTCAATTTCCCTTCGTACGTGACAGACGGCGATAATATTACGATTACACAATGTTACTAAGAATAGAATAAAGTAAATTAGAAGGCGTCTATTGATTGGACAATAAAGAAATAATTCCTCACTTGCAAGTAGAATTTTTATGATTGGTTAATTTAACTGAAAACCAAAGTAGAATTCATTCGAGAAATTACGAGATATGAAACGTGTTCAATGCCGTAACGAATCTAGTATAATGTCATTTTCTAGCCTTTATGATTATATTTTGAATGGTGGTTACGTTTTGAAGTAAATAATAAACAAGGTAGAATATAGTTAGAAATGCCGAGAAGTATTTAGATTGGATTAACAATAGCAAAAGTCGAACAAGGTCCGTTGACTTTGCCGTATGACTACGACGAGTGCTATTAATAGTATCATTGTTTAGCAGTCGACATCGTTGGACGACTGTTACATTCTAAAATTTTCAAACATCAAATACAAAATTACAACGGACAAGTTTTGTTATAAAGAGGAATATAATCAGACACAACTCTATGTAATGGGGGACATCTCCGAAGAACCGTACCGTTGAATTCAAACCGTTTAACCGTCCAGTTCTAACCGTTTACGGCTATCCGACTAGTCGTAGGAGCACTAATTATTATCGATAATCGCTGACAAATTCTTGCCGATAATTGATATTGAAATTTCATATCGATTCCCAGCCTTAGCTAGGAGGGCAATTTTGCCCAGACAGTGGCACTATAACCCACTCTCATATAGAATTCGAACCGTAATGGGTTCTTTTACGTGCATGCCTATGGGTATATCGAACCTCGATTTTTTCGTACCAATCCTGAGGAACTTTCTTGTCCAACACCGGGATAGAATACGAAACCTCCAGGTAAGCGGGTCAACAACTTACTCCATGAGCCACTGTCGTTCCCTTGTGCTAGAACATGGGGGAGAACTGCTATATTTGTCTTCTGAGATCAGGGGAAGCAACTTCTAGTCTTAGTCCATATAAAACCCAATGAATCCAGAAACCTCTAATAATAAAATGGAATAAAATATGAGAAAATGAAGGCACAACTGATGTAAATAATGAGCAATACGGAGACAAAATCATCTTAGTTTTTTTACAGGAGCAAAAACCGGACAGCTCTTTATCTAAATCTTAAATATAGCATCCAATCATTTCCAGTTATTCGGATAATTTTTGGAAGAGGGAACACAAAAGAGTGACTATCGTTGGTCTACTAATTAACCGAGATACAGACAAGACACAACTCTACGGAATTCAAATTCATTAACTTCATTGTTCAGAAAATATTTCTGGTTGCAGACTCAATGAAATTAGAGCAGTGAGACATGAATGATTGTAAATGGTAGACAACTGAAATACACGAAGCAACACAAGCACTAAATGGAAGCCATCACAATGAAGGGAATAAAAAAACATATATCACATATATTGGAAAAAAATAGCTCAAATAATTGGAAGAAGTTATTCATAGCCAGAATATTGCGGGGGTTTTATTGGGACAATCTGTATAATAAACACATACAGGGACAGTTTGATAGCTTCAATGAACTACGGTTAGGGTATTGGGATAATCCGTATAATGAACCATGGTCAGGGTTGGGTAACCAATGACTCAACAATATTTACCTGTATGAGGTAATCATAATTCGTAAATTCAATATTTACCAGGTAATCTTTCTTCGTAAACCCTGTGGCTACGAGGTAATCTTTGTTCGTAAACACTGTGGATACGAGTTAATCTTTCTTCGTAAACACTGTGCTTATGATTAACCTCTACTCAAATAACAATAGTATAAAAAATGTTTACCATCTTCAAAATATTAATGTATTTCATTCACAAATTGTGACAATAAGGTTGGCGACCAATGCCAGGCATTTCTGGCGACGTTTAAATTCCAACTGCCAAGGGAGGGTGGTCTCTCGTTCTCTCTCACGCTCTGAAGAAGGGACCATTGTAAACTCTACGTCAATTCCATACCTATTGACTACCGCACACCTCCTCACAAACCCCTATCATACAATAATATTTTAGTCTGAAGGCCAGTACCAGTAATATTGTGAAGATGTGAAGATGTCAAACATTAAGCACTATTAATCTTATATCAAGCACAATATCACCAAACTTACACAAATATTAATAACAGATCAAAATTTATATTTTCTATGATTCAAATTGTATCAACACAACCGTTTTAATTGCTATATAATAATATTATATTCGAAATATAGTTTCATATAGTTTACAAAATCAACAGTCTAATTTACATTCCATCTTTATATGGTTTAAATTTAAACACACATTATGTAAGAGCTAAATTTGCTTGTTGCAAGTCTTTTTTTAGGACTGAAATGTTATCTAAATTATTAATTAGACATTAATTCACCTATCCAGACCATAATCAAGACGATTAGAACCGTTCAGCCATATTTTGATTTAATTTAATAACGGTGAGACTAAGATGCACCCATCTTGTCACACCTTCAAAAGCTGATATCTTTGCTCACAATTTGAATGAAATTTTCAATATATTTTGATTTTACGTTATATATTTTTGAACTATTAAAGCAAGAATGACTAGCTCTTTATCTAAATCTTACATAATGTATCTTTAATGTTTGTGAACAATACATGTATCAACTACAGTCTGTTCTGTTTTCAAATTGGTTTTGGTCTTAGAATATCGTTCTAATTGAAACTGATCAGTAACTACTGTTCAATCTACCACCCCTAGCACTCTTTTAACAAAATTTTCAGATACAAGGTTCTGAGGTCAAAACTATTTTATCACAAAAACTGTAGACACACTAGCCGAATGATTCGCTCGAATCAATTTGTGCCGAAATTCGCCAAATGTGTCCGCCAAAGCATTTGCCCGATTGTAGAATTCATTAGCCAATCACCACTCATCATCCACTCATATCGTGATGTCACTTGATTGTTTAAAGACATAATCACCGTAATGTTTAATCATGTGACGTGAAAGATGATGCACTTTACTGCTTTAATTTATAGACAATTCTTTACCTGTGGCTAATAGAGGTGTCTGGTCAGGTCAGGTGAGAAGTCAGGTGTCCGGTCACGTCGGGTGATAGGATGTGTTACAATGATTTTATCAACACGATCAGACATCTGTGACTAATATAATTACTGACCATGTAAAAGGAAAAAACAATACCAGGCTGGTGTAAATGTGTAGGAAATAAAATAATTTTAACATTACTCAGATTAATGTGGTCCTATAAAATATTCTTTACTTGAGACCATAGAAATTGACAGAAGCAGGGTCGAGTCCAGAACGTGAGGCTAACAGATCCACTGGAATAATTTAATTGCATATTGTGTATCATTAGTGGTATCTTTTCTCTGATTTTATAACATGAGTCATCGCCTATTTGAGGACCCGGTCACACTATTAAAAGTCAAGCCTTGTCCTATATATTATGGACCTGGTCACACAGCTAGAAGTCAAGCCTTGTCCTACGTGTATATTGAGGACCTGGTCACACTGCCAGCCTTCTCTCATAATGAAGACCTGGTCACATTACTAGAAGACACGATATAAAATGAATATTCACATCTCAATTTTTCATATTTTTCTGGATAAATTCGCCAGTGTTCATTCTAGGTCGTGGACGATCTCCAAAAATATATCTACCAGTATCGGTGATACTTTCAGCCAAGGCCTGCATTTTATCTGCTATCTGATCGTGATCCGATGGGGTGTCCTGAAATATCAAAGTTATATTTCACGTCAAATAAACCCTTTCAATAAAAAAACCCCATCAAGATATGATATGAAATGAAGGGTTTTTATGTCTTACTGTCCTGCTTCAACTTGGTTAATGAAGACAGCATCAAGATATGATATGAAATGAAGGGTTTAACGTCTCACTGTTCTGCTCCGACTGGGCTAATAAAGATGGCATCAAGATATGAAATGAATTAGGGTTCTGCTTCGACTGGGCTAATGACATCTAGACATGTAACACGATTAAAATGTAGAAGTTTTCAGTATCGTGCTATGCAAAGAGAGAGAGAAATCCACTTGACACAAACTAGGTCATGTCGGGACTAACATATGGTTAATTGAGGCAATGACAGAAAGTTTGGTGAATAAAACACGACATTAAATCCTTTTCCCATATATAGCCCACAGTACTACAGTTGATAGAAAAGAAATGAAATGGGGTTTAACTGTTCTACACCGACCTGGTCAATAGATTGTGGCAGAAAACAACAGCGTTTCTATCTTCTCAAAATCATATTCCATCTGTCAAGGGCTATATTGCGTCCATGCCAAATAGTTAACGGCTGGGCCGTGTTTTATTCTGTACCATCTGTCAAGGGCTATATTGCGTCTTTGCCAAATAGTTAATCGCTGGGCCATGGGGTTTTTTTTGTCCCATCCGAACACTGAAACGATTTTGCTTGCCACGTGTAGTAGAACCGGAATCGTAATAAAACATCTATCAATAAATGACCGCGCTACAGTCAAATCTTATCGAATTCCAACAGTCAATTCACGTGTATGCCAATGTGTACATATGATCTTAGTTTTTCATCCCATCTCAATGACTAAACAGCAGTCCTTAGCACGACTGACAATGGGGAACTTACTTGACCTACATCGTGATTGAACTATGTTACACACCGACTCCCTGCGGCTTCCGCTATATTATTGAAGATACTCACATCATGATCATCCTCATCTTCATCTTCTGTACTATGATGTCGACCTTTACCCCACATGGGCACAGATATAGGCACAGATGAGGAATATAAATTATGACGATTTCTAGTTCCTGCGTCTTCCCGAGATTTTACTGTACATGAAAATATATAAGAAATGATTTTATGACATTTCAATAGTGAACATTAAGTTACTATAGCGATGATATATCCATACTGAACATTCAGTTACTATAGTGACGACATACTATATCTATACTGAACATTACCTTACTATATAGTGATGACATAGCGATATTACTATAGCGATGTTATATTGATAGTTACTACAGCGATATTTTATACTGATAGTTACTATAGCAATGTCATATTAAGAGTTACTATAGGGATGTCATATTGATAGTTACTATAGGGATGACATAATGATAGTTACTATAGTGATGTCATATAGTTAGTTACTATAGCGATGTAATATAGATAGTTACTATAGCGATGTCATATTGCTAGTTACTATATAGTGTCATATTGATAGTTACTATAGGGATGACATATTGATAATTACTGTAGTGATGTCATGTAGATAGTTACTATAAAGATGTCATATTGATAGTTACTATAGCAATGTTATATCTTACTTGGACTAATATCATCGCCTTCGTCACTTTCATAAAACGGTTCATCTACTGGATCAACCTCGTCTAACATAAACATTGCTACAATAAAGAAATTATAGTCTTATATCAATATCATGGGCTGTCTGGTAACCATTGTTACAATAATTATAGTCTTATATAAATTTGAAAACAAGCTGAGGAATGATGTTGCAAAAAAATTTTGCAAAAGAGATCAGTCGATAAAACTTCCAAAGCTTTTCAAAATAAAGGAGACCTTGACGGTTGGAAAATATAGAGATTAGGTGGAGACAATGCTACCAGTTTTGTCTAGAATCATCCTATTCAAACCCTGTTTAAAATATAAACATACCTTCTGAATCTATATTTTGATAACTTCGATTTCCACTGAATGATTGTGACGATTGTCTCATTTCATTTCGCTGTAAATATAAAATTAAATTGTATAGGAGGAGCTAAAAAAACTGAATTTCATTCAAATAGTAAAAAAAATATGTTGCCAAGCAACAAAACATATAAGTAGATTTAAATAGTAATGATAGGTAACTTACTTTCTTATTTTTACTTTTATGTTTGGAAGGAGTTGATGTTTGCAGGCTTTGTTCGTCTAAAAAAAACAAAAACAACAATCGTCTAAAGTTAACCAGAAGTCAATTAAATAAAACATTATTTATATATGGATAATAACAACTACTGTTTATTTCACTGCGATGACGTTTCAACAAGTCGCTGTCAAACATATCAAGACAAATAAATAAAATGAAATTTAGAACCCAATAACTACCAGAACCAACTCATCAACTATTAATCCTTCCATGATAAATATCTTAACTTAATATTTAGCTCAGTAGAAAACCACAGCTCCAAGGTTTTAAGCATTGAGTATATATCACTCTGCAATAACTTGCTTGTTAGTGGACTGAGTCACATGTTTTGATCTGACTTCTGACACTTTAAAGCTCGGTTCATACTCCATCCGTATCCATAAACGTATCCGTATCCGCACATGCATCCGTATTTTGCCGTTCAAATAGAAAACGCAAAAACGTCTGGCTTTCAAGGCTGAATTGTCTGTCAGAGATTGAGTTTCTATTTGGGGAGATGATGTAATGAGGGGAAAGTACTCGCTGATTGGCTAAAGCTCGGCTCACTAGCCGAAATGCCAGACGCACTCTACAAAAATATGCTCTGGGAGCAATCAATCCGGCTTAACGGACGCAGTTATTTTTTTGCGCAATACGTGCCAGATTCTATTTGAACTCTTTCTCTAAAAATGACTAAAGTATACCAGTACGTATTCACGCACGTATTTACAGATACGGATGTAGTATGAACGGACCTTCACAGTGGTTCAATCTCTGAATCTAAATACAGGGACCAAGTGTACACATTGGCGTGCACGTAAAAGAACCATTGAAAATAACAGTAGGTCGCAGCACCGCTGTCAAGGAAAATTCCCTGATAGCACACATAGGAGCGGCTTCATTAGCCCAGTTGATGCAGAAAGGAAGGATGTTTTAAGCCCAATTTAATTTCTGAATGTAAGTCCAGTGCAATTCATCAATATTGAACCCGAATCTTTGACAGGAGTCAGCAACTGTTGGTCATATGCAAATTTTGGGGCCGAATCATGCGGGAAGGATGATAGAATCATCGGTTGGAGGATATTTTAGGTTATTCTGGTAACAGACAATAGACTCCAGAAATACTGTAACAACCAGTGGCTGCCAGGCAGGATATGCCCACATTTTGCAAGAGATGGATAGAGAACAGACTAAAAACAAAAGCAATTTTTTGTACAATCAGGGGCAATAATCCAGTGAGTTATGGCCTGAAATGTGCAAATACCAAAAGGGACTGAGATCTTTGGGATATAAAGATATGTTTTAAAGTAGCTAAGTCTCTAACTCAATATCATCCAAAATCTTCAACATTGAAAACACTTTTTTTTTGTCAAATTAAATCAATATTCATGTTGTGATCTTACCGGAAAAAGATGGGCTTTTGATATCCAATATTTAAGACAAAATAAACATTTTACCATTTGTACACGAATCGTGTACCATAATGCGCTTCAGCCCCAGTTGTATCAAGAGACTCGAGGGACGGGGCTAGACCCATTGAACCAAATCAAACGGCATATATAGACTGGAATAACCAGACACTAGAAATTTGCACTCGCTTGAGATTGCTGGCTTATTTCGCCGAACATAGATGATTTGAAATTGGAGTAAAAACGGAAACCATTGAATGTAAATCAGTTTATATACATTCATACTACAGTATTATATGCGTTGTGACCCACTTTTGTCAATTTCAAGGTCTCAAGTGTTAGCGATTTAGCTCCTTTAAGTTTCATCAAAATCGGATAACAATTGTGACCTCTAGAGGGTCCACAACCTTCGTATTACACACTTCTACAAAATTTGCGTACAAAGGGCCGCCATTTTGTCGAGCAGTTTCATTTCGATTTTCTTGAAATTCGAAGATAACCTTCATTAAGGTGGAATGGTGATATATTTCAACAGTTTTTAAAATCGGAAAAAAATTGTGACCTCGAGAGAATCCGCTAAAAATGCAATTTTTCGAACAATCAGCGGGGCCACAATGCAGGAAGTTAAGTTCGGGTATCTGTGATTATAAAAAGGAACCAAGATCTTAGTGTGTAATGGTGATATATTCACACGTTTTTGTTTCTAAATCGGATAAAAATTGTGACCTCTACAGGAACCACAAGCTAAAAACGTGATTTTTTTGGTTCATTCCAGGGCCATAATTCAGGAATTTACGATCCGATATGTGCGAATATCGACAGGAACCAATAACTTTGGGTTATAATCATGTATTTCAAGTTTCATCGAAATCAGATCAAAATTGTGACCTCTAGAGGGTCCACAACTTTGATATACCAGATGTTTACACTATTTGCGTACGAAGGGCGGCCATTTTGTCCGGCAGTTTTGGCCTGATTTTCATGAAATTCAAACTCAGACGACATTCGAACGTTTTTGTAAATCGGATAATAATTGTGACCTCGACGGGGACCACAATCAGGGGCCATAATTCAGGAAGTTACGATTCGATATGTACGAAAATCGCAAGGAACCAAGATATTTGGGCTATAAACATGCATTTAAAATTTCATCAAAATCAGATGAAAATTGTGACCTCCAGAGGGTCCGCAACCCTGATACACAATATTTTGACACGATTTGCGAACAAGGGCCGGCCATTTTGTCTGTCAGTTTCGGTCCGATTTTTACGAAATTCGAACACAACCATCCTTAGAGTGTAACGGTGATATATTCCAATGTTTTTTTATTAATTTTTAAATCAGATACAAATTGTGACCTCTATAAGGTCCACAAGCTAAAAACGCTATATTTCGTACAATCAGGGGCCATAATTCAGGAAGTTCTGGTCCGATGTGCGCGAATATCGAAACATACCTTTGAAGTTTAAACCGAATCGGATAAAAATTGTGACCTCTACAGTGTTCACAGGCTAGAAACGTGATTTTTCGTACAATCAGGGGGCATAATCCATGAAGTTACAGTCTGATACATGCCAATATCGAAAACCAAGTTTCATTGAAATTGGATAAAAATTGTGACCTGTAGAGAGTTCACAAACAATTGTGGACGGACGGATGTCCGGACCGACGACAATGTAGGTCCACATTGTAATAAAGCCCTTATTGTAATTAAAACCCTTATTGTAATAAAAAAAAACTTTCTATAATAAAAACCCTTACGACTCGTTAAATAGGTTCGGGAGAACCCTGTACAATAATTCCAGCATGAATCATATTTCTGATTATACTCTGGGAAATAATATACTAATGTTAGCGTAGTATCAGCTCAATTTGACAGTGTTTAACAATACATCTCCGTGATTTTAACTCATAACACTAGGAGAGTGCCGTCATATAATGGGCGGCCACGCTGAAGGAATTCCCACCAGACGTCGCTAGTAAAAACTTGGTGTCATGTGACCTTGTCGATGGTAAGACAACCATATTACGACGTATCAGGATTAAATTCCAGATTAGCGACAAAAACTAACTTTGGTCAACAGACCAGTTTGTAATGATGTAATGAATGTACAGGAAAACAATGCTGTAAGGTAAACAATGAGGTCCTCTCTGGTGTCACCTATAAATTATTCCCCTTTATCTCCAGCAAGAACGCCAATTAAAACTATGACATGACAGTAATAAAAAAAAGTTAATCTTACTGTGTGATGAAAAAAAATCCATGCTTTCAGACACGTCTTCTGTACTTTCAGCAGCTCTTAACACAATGCTAAAATAACAAATGATTCAATAATATATACAGTCAACTTAAACTGGAGTTACTCCCCTTGCACATACCAAAACACATAAAATTCATAACAATATACCAGACTTGATGATTATGTTGACAATATTATCATGTAACATAATTAATTACAAGACAAATATTGTATAACAGGTCGAGGTTTGACTTGAGATAAATAACTCTACAGGTAAATAGTATACTTGGTTCAACTCTGGAATACAAATGAAATGGAGGCTTAACGTCCTACTTTTCTGCTCCGACTAGGTTAATGAACACAAGCAGACGCCATACAGTATGCTGAACGACAAAAAGATTGGTTTTTCGAGTTATAGATTTATTTTTACTAGTTTTTAATATTTAACTATACTGTCTTTAATTATTATAGATTCTGGGTTGTATGTTTTTATTTATACAACTTTATAGAGTTTTCATAATAACACAACTTCATGGATTTACTAATTCTTGATTTATTACGACGTGTGATAAAGATACCTGTAAGAGTATTGAAACGTTGCATGTAATATACCAAGAAGTAGTAAATCCATAAAGTTGTTTTATTATGAATATTATACCTCTAATTCTAAATGTCATTGAAGGATATTAACTTTATAGGGTGTTTTTATTATAGATTCTCAAATGTTTTTATTGTTTTGAGTTTTTTCATATTTAAAATCTTTTTTTTTTTTGTTGTAATGTATATCGTACAGTGCATCAGAATATATCTTTGTGAAAGCGCACGTTAAATAAATGATTTATAAAAATTATAATAATTCTGAGGAAGTTTCTTTCCAACACCGAGAACGAACCTTAGACTTTCAGCTAGCCAGTGTCTTACTTACTGAGTCACCGTGCCCCCTCCCACCCCGGATATAATATTCCGACAAAGATTTTCCCTCACAGCACACTGTATGGAATATGTCCGTCTTCATTAGCCCTGTCAGACGTTAAACACCATTTTATTTCCCCGGGATAAAAAACTCTATAGTACAGTCAACATGTATAAAAAGTAAACATTACCTGATCATTTTACGTTTATCAGCCTTCGCCTGATCCTGAACAAGTTGAAAATCAGCTCTTTGTTCTTCCTCATATTGTCTACAATAAAAAAATAAAATATTACATCATCATTGTTTCATATCTATAGATAGAAATGAGGTTTAACGTCCACTCAAAATAACCTAGGTCAGTTTGGGACTGTTCAATTTTATTTCAATAATTTGATTGCAAATAGATGTCTTTATCAGTGGGATGAAACTCGAGGACTCGGAGAAACCCACAAGGTTTGATTGGCGACCTACTTCTTGTTACGCTGCAGCTGTGAATCAAACCTACGGCACTTGACTCAATGACAAACCTTACGATCTGAAAATTTCAGTCAAATTACTCTTTATTCTCAGCGAAGTTATGGCCGTTTGAAGAATAGTGTAGTCTTGATTGACATTGCTATGATAGTAAACAAAGTTTTGATTATCCATATCTTATTTAAATCATTAAACAACGATCTTGTTCCAATAACAAACATCAGATGATCGAAAGAGTTGATTATAGTTTCGTCATGTTAATAAAATGTGTAATTAATAATTTATATAATAATTGAAGCCAAAAGAAAGACAGACAGATTTAGCTCTTGAATACAATTATAGTCTCGATTAGTAGAAAATTTGAATTTTTATGAAAAATGACAACCAGGCGTTACAAGGTAACCTGGTAGAAGGTAAAATCAGTGTGAAGGCCTTGCATGTATTTTAAAACAGCCTTAATTATTTTAAAACGATCTTGAATATGTCAATTGGTAGAAAATAAACTTAGTGCGAAGGCCTTACATGTATTTTAAAACAACCTTAAATGTAAATTTGTAGAAGGTAACCTCAGTGTGAAGACATATATTTGTGGATGGTAATCTCGGAGCAAAGGCCTTGCAAGTATTTTAAAACAGCCTGAAGGCCTTGTAAGTATTCTAAAACGGCTTTGAATGTGTCAATTGGTAGAAAATAACCTATGTGCGAAGGCCGTGTAAGTAATCTAAAACGGCGTCAAATGTTTTTACCTTATCCTATCTTCTAGAGCTTCTTCTTCTGACAATAAAAAACGACTGAGTTGTTGTTGAACTTGGTTCAGATGTGTCTGTAGGGAATCCAAGTTACGAGGATCTACAACATAAACAATCGATAAGTTACACATAAGAAATGAAAATAAAATTTCAATTCATCTTTGTAACTACCAAACAGATTTGGCACGACTTCTATTTCTTTTAGTGATTATATGTCTGGTTGGAACAAACTTTGTACGCCAATCTTTTCCACTCCAAGATATAACTTGCAAAATGAATTGGGGTTTAAAGTCTTGCTGTTCTGCTCAGACTGGGCTAATGAAGAAAGGCATACAGTATGCAATGAGAGATATTTTGCCTGTGCAATTCTGTGTCAAGGGTTCTTTTACGTACATGCCATAGTGAACACATGATTTCAGATTCCTGTCCCATCCGAATGACTATACGTTGTCCCTTGCCAGGCTCTCTGTTCTACACAAGGACAAGGGGAACCACGCTAGAAAATCTTAAGAAACTTTCTCGGCCAATGCAAAGATCGAACACAGAACTCTACGGTTAGCGAGCCAGTATCCTACTCACTAAGCCACGGTGGCTCCCAAATATCAATGCAATATGGCTACAATGTTAACATTCTAATTAAGTCACTCACCAGGTGCATTTCCACCCAGTTCACTGGGTTTCTGTAGTATTATACCAAAAGGTTTAGAAAAGTTTGCAGAATGTTTTAATCTGTCTATAACAGCGGCATCAGACTACAAAATAAAACATATACAGCGGTATCAGACCACAATATAAAACAAATACAGCGGGATCAGACCACAATATAAAACAAATGAGATGCTTATTATATACACTTTAGTAAAATATGGATTGAAAATTCCTTGAAATGCCACTCTCCAGAAAGTTTGTTGAGAACATTGTGGTCCAGTAGTGAATGAAAGGTCATGAGAACACTTTGAACTTGTTTAACGTTCACTCATCACAAACTAGGTCATTTCGGGACTAACATAAGGTTCAATAATTTGTTTGTGCATAGGGGTCTTTAACAGGAAGAGGATGGAGGACCTGGAGAAAACCCACAAGGTTACATAAGGCGACCCCATTTCTTGTCACGTACAAGCAGGGAATTAAAACCACGCTACTTGACTCAATGACAGAGTTACCCATTCGGCCACCCAACCTTCCAGCAGTGGGAGGAAACCAGTGAAAAACGCCCAGAAGTTTGGGCAGGAGACCCTACGCCTTGAAACGTCAAAACCTGGGATTGAAACCACGCCACTAGACTATCATAGATGTACATAATCAGAAAGCTGTGACACGAGGAAGTTTTAACAGACAAGTGTGTACTATTCGGTAAGCTGCGACGCAAGGAAGTTTTAACAGGTAAGTGTGTACTATTCGGTAAGCTGCGACGCAAGGAAGTTTTAACAGGTAAGTGTGTACTATTCGGTAAGCTGTGACACGAGGAAGTTTTAACAGGTAAGTGTGTACTATTCGGTAAGCTGTGACGCGAGGAAGTTTTAACAGGTAAGTGTGTACTATTCGGTAAGCTGCGACGCAAGGAAGTTTAACAGGTAAGTGTATACTAACCTGTAATTTTGTATTGACTAGTATACATTCTTCATTATCACGATTTAACTCATTATAAACTAGATGAGTTTTACTTTTACAACTTAAACATTGAAATAATTTATATTTTCCATAGGCTTCACGATGTACCAGATAACTGTGTTCCTGCAAAAATAACATACCAGGTGGTAATATTCATCAATATTATCGACCAGTAGTGTATTCACACGATTTTTCGGGTCAGTCAAGTGTACATACATTGGTAAAAAAATATATGGCTACCCATAGAAAGTCAGTAGGTTGATGCATACTCCGGAGAGAGAACCCACCTTGGAGAGAGAGAGAAATGGGGTTTAACGTGGAATCTACACAAACTAGGTCATTTCGGGACTAACATCTGGTTCAATTTTATTTCAATAATTCGAGAGTGCATAGGGGTCTTTAGTAGTGAGAGGAAACCGGAGCGCCCAGGGAGAAAACCCATAAGGTTGGACAGGCGACCCTACATTTTGTTATTTACATGTACAATGGATAAGCGAAACCACACCACTTGACTTTATGAGAGAGAGAGAGAGAGAGGGTTTAACGTCCACTCGACACAAACTGGGTCATTTCGGGACTAACGTATGGTTTAATTTTATTTCAATAATTCGCTTGCGCGTAGGGGTCTTTAGCAGTGGGAGGAAACCGGAGGACCCGGAGAAAACCCACTAGGTTGGACAGGCGACCCTACTCCTTGTCATGTACAAACCGGGGATTCGAAACCACACCAGTTGACTCAATGACAGGCCTTACACGATACACGTGCTAACCATTCGGCCATCCAACCCCCCCTTTATGATAGACCTTACATGTATGATCCAACGCGCACGTGTTAACCATTTGGCCACACAAACCCCATCATGATTTGTAAAGTAAACATCGCATACATGTAAGTCGAATTCGTATAAGTCACTCAATTCGGATAAAATCGTTTGAACCCTTTGATCCTGCATGTTTTTCTTATTAAATTTCTGTGAGTAAGTCGGATCTTTGCTCAACTGGGATCAAAATGTTTGGTCCATTTGATCCAATTCTGTTTTTTTTCCCTTCGCCTAAGTCGGATCAGCAGTATGTTCAGAATTTGACTGTCAGTTTTGTCCTGATGGCCTAAAACGAGATTACTTATTCCATGCACAGACCCCCCAAATACTTCCCCCTATCATTTTGCCTCAAATCAGCCTATTTGATGCAACATAATAATAAAATTTCCACGGAAAATTCAAAACTCGCTGTCTGCTGTAAGAGACACAAATTTAGGACATGTTTCAAAGATGGCGACAAAACGGAAGTTGTCTACTGGAACATACAAACAAAAGCTTGAAATGCAGTTTATTTCTAATCGAGCTAAGATTGAATTTCTGGCTTTGGATAACTCGGATCTTTGCTTAACTCAGATAAAATTGGTCAGTCCACTTAGATCCGATTTATGCAAAAGTTTACTGTACATCCAACTCTATATATATATATACGTCAGGCATCTGTCACAGATTTTGTCAGGTACAAATTATCACACCTGTATATATTACGACAGGTGTCTTATACCCAGGTCCTATACATGTATATAGCAATGTGTAGAAAACTTACAATTGTTATGCCTTGGTTATCCAGTTTAACTTCAGCTAAAGATTCCTCAAATTCTTTATCGCCAGAATTACAACCAAAATCTAGAAAGATATAGGATAAATGGGGGAATCAAACAGATTGATTTATAAGCCCAGTATTATTGTCAACTGCACATTTTCATCAAGAAATTTTAATATTCATTCAGCAAGTAAACTATACAGTATATAGTTACACACATTCAGTGTTTTCTCAGGCCAATTAAAGGAAATGAAATGGGGTTTAATGTCCTACTGTTCTGCTCCTATACTGGGCTAATGAAGACGGGCATATGCCATACAGTGTGCTATGAGGGAAATTTCGTCCGGGCAGCGGCACTATCGCCTACTCTTATATCGAATTCCAACTACCAAGGGATCTTTTATGTGCATTCCAATGTATACATGGGACCTCGGTTTTTCGTCTCATCAGAAGGACTAGACAGCTGTCCTTGTAAGGCCCTCCGTTTTGCACCACTGACAAGGGGAATCATGTTGGAAAATCCTTATGAACTTTCTCGGCCAATGCAGGGATCGAACACCCGACCTCCAGTCTAGCGAGCCAGCGTCTTAACCACCTAGCCACCGTGGCTCCCCAATAATGAACAGGGGCATAAGTTATACAGCATGTTAAAGACAGTCACAATTCAACAAATTGTCCAGTACAGTGTTTCCCAAGGCCATTTAACGAACATGAGCATACAATGTGTGCCATACAGCATGCTACAGACAGTCGCGGTTCAACAAATTGTCCACGTACAGTGTTTCCCCAGGCCATTTAAAGAACATGAGCATACAATGTGTAGCATACAATATGCTACAGACAGTTGAGTTCAACAAATTGTCCTTCATTCACCTGGTTGACACAGACAGGTAAAATGATCAACATCAGCAGATGACCAAATATTTCTAATGAAAGAGGGGTAAAAAAATCTCAATACAGTCTAGATGCTGGAACGATATATCTCGTTGAATTGCATATTGAATCTTGAGACGCTGAATCAATGTATCGACATTCTTTTTAATGTTTTTTGTCGCTTCAGTCAGCAACCTGTCACTCTTCTTATCCTCTCAGACTCACATATAGGTACACAAACACTCTTAAAATATTTTGGCCCTTATTTTGATCCACATCAATATCGTCATATCAAACAGTTACATTTCTTTCACATTGGCAGGATTAAAAATTTCAATTATTCATTTATCTTGTTGTTTTCTTGGTAAATAATGACCTGGTTATGAATCGTGATATGAATCGTATCACCCGAATTGCAAAATGTGTGACTGCAGTGGCAATACCTGGCACTAATATGGCTCTATCTGTGATACAACTGACCATGTACCAAGTATGACTTCATCGCAGCCATCTCGGATTTGGCGGAGATTTAGGCTTTTTACCAAGAACGTCGCTGCTAAGAAGATAATGAGTAGCGTGTAAATTACAGGTGTTGTAATTATGACCTACCTTTCAGTCTACCAGAACATGGTTTTAAATCTTTTGCATAGATTTTAACGTTTAAACATGGACAAGCTAACAACATCATTACAGCTTTAATATTTACTGAAATAAAAGAAAATATTCTAATTGATGGAAATATAACTGGAGAATTTTAGACATGAGTTTAATAGTACACGCAGGATGACCGCACTAGACTCAAATAAAACAAGGATCCCGGGGGCCATGACACAAATCACACTCATATTGCAACAAATATCAATAGATCCAGGCGGCTGGTCGTACTGCGCTGTACAGTCTGTTAATGATACAGGCTTCATTCGTAAGGTAAAACAAAATGATAATTTACAAAAAGAATTTTACAGATACTGGCACCATGATTAATGTTTTAAATATCACGAGGACAAGGGATGAACTCAGCGATGGCCAAGAAATGTGCTTGATATTTTTCCAGCCAAGTTTCCCCTTGTGCGTGGTGCTGAGCAGAGTGATGCCCCCTTGTCAGTGGTGCTGAGCAGAGTGATGCCCCCTTGTCAGTGGTGCTGAGCAGAGTGATTACCCCTTGTGAGTGGTGCTGGGCGGACGACAGGTACATGTATAGTCATTCGGATAAAATCAAAAACCAACATTCGGCCATATGACATAAAAACGAACCATGACAGTGGAAATTCATTTTTTGGGCACTTCATCTCAGTTTTTACATAAAAGTAGACCATGAAACCCACCCCAGACAGACAGAGGTAAAATTTACATGATAATAATTATTGCAGGCCCTATAATTCGTTCATGAACAGGACTATGGTATTTAGATGGATTATCGTACTAGTTTAAAAATGAAAAGTTGTTCAACTTCCTACTCCGAACCGGGTTAATGAAGCTGTTCATACAGCGTGCTATGTATGAGAGAAATTCCGCCCGGACAGTGACGTTATGGCCTATTCTTACATCAAATTCCAACTGCCAAGGGATCTTTTACATGCACGCCAGTATGTACACGGGACTGTGGTTTTTCGTACCATTTGAACGACTATACATTCTCCGTTCAACGAGAGCCATTAAGTGAATAAGCGAGTTATTCAGAATTTTCCGCAGTGGTTTCCTCTTGTCAGTGGTGAAGGATTGAGGACCTGACAAGGACAGCTGTTTAATTGTTCGGATGGTACAAAATAACAAGGTCTCGTGTACATACTGGCATGCACGTAAAAGATCCATTGACAATTGGAATTCAATTTAAGAATAAACTGTAGTGCTGGCCGCTGTCCGGGCAAAATTTCCCTCATATATAGCACACCACATGCCTGTCTTCATTAGCCCAGTAGGAGCAGAACAGTAGGATGTTAAACCCCATTTCATTTCAGCAAGAGCCAATGGCGGTGACCTTATGAATATAATCTATAAACTGAAATGATGTAATAATATATCACCAAGGCTGTAATAATCTATTTATAGATTCAGAAATAAAAGTTGTCATTGTCAAACAATAACATGCACCCCCTATAAATGAGGCCTAGTCCTTGAGCCTAGACCATAGATCACCATGGTAATAATATCTGCCATGACATAACCAAAAAGTCGGTTAATATACCACAAAAATAAACACTAGAATTGGGTAACAAAAAATAGGTCAGGCCAACAACAGTCACCGACTTTCTGGCATTGCAATTTTCTTTAACAAAGTTGACATTGTTATCAATCAAGGACACTGTTTCTAGAATTTAAATCATAAATGATGATAAAATTAGTCTTTGTTATAAACCTGTGCACGAGTGAGCGGCGAGGTTCTGGCCGAGTCACAAACTGGATGGAATATGAACGAGAGATAAAAATAGATTCGGGGGGCTCAAGATGAATGGAAATTTCCACAAATTGACCGGTTTCGGGTCCCGATATTCGGTACAGACAATCGACATGCATGCACGTTTTGCTAGAATTCATTGCACAATATATTCATAAGATCTATGCAAGTAATGTGAAAACTTGGCAATGCATATTTTAAGACAAAGAAGACTTACTCGAATAAGAAGTTACATATACTCGCTCAGCTGTGATAACGATGACAGATCATGTGACCTTTTATATATCTCTAAATTATTTTCGTATCTAGATAAAGAACACATGAAAAATTTGATTTTCAGAGCAAAGATTTTCATTTAAGTCTTAATCCAAAATATTAAATCAATCTAAATGAGTGAAAATATTAAATAAAATGGTAGTACAATAGCGCCGGCTTCTCGGATACGAAATTAAACTCGACAAATGTTACTTTGTGCGTCGTCTGCTATTACCGGTATCTTTTGAGATCAGACCACATTATACAATGGGGTTTTTTTGTTTTGTTTTTAAAAAATGCCAATAAAAAAATTATAACACAAATGTTTAGGAATTTGTTTTCTTGACATATTTTGATACGCCAAGAGAAATTTTATAGTACGGACAAGGGGACCGCACTACACACAAACATAATTACCTATAGGCCCTACTAGGCCGAAAGCTGAAATGAAATGAAATGAAATGGGGTTTAACGTCCTATACTGTTTTGCTCCGAAATGAAGACGGGCACACGCCATACAGTGTGCTATGAGGGAAATTTTGCCCGGACAGCGGCACTAGGGCCTAGGCCTACTCTTATATCGAATTCCAACTGTCAATGGATCTTTTGTAAGAATATTGTCAACCCATTGTATCAAGGCATATTTTCATATTTTTAAAAACTTTAAACTCAGAATGGACACATGTGTCCACTCGTCAGCCTTAACTTAATGTTCAAATCATTTATTTTCAGAGTATGAGACTATCTAAAATGTTTTGCCTGTTTTCTATAAAAAAAAAAAAATATATTTTTCCAATTTGCCAGGTCGATATCAATCGAATCAATCTAATATTTTGTATGGATGTTTCTGGATACTAACCCCCTCCCCTTCCACGCCTCCCCCACACCTCAACTATCTTTGATCCTGACTCGGGCTATTGGCCCGCGTTTACTCAACGCCTGACTCCAGGATACAGGTATCAGGTTGCCTCCCTTTAGACGTGAGACAGTCCCAACTAAGAGAGCCGGAAGATCACAACAGTTTTTAGTGTCATTGTATATTCCATGCTGCACTGCCCATTACAGTTAGGAAAACTAGGCAGAGAAGTGTATATCAGTACATCGCCGTAGAGAGAAGCCTACCTCGGAATATCTGGGGCTCAGTCAATGACTGCGTTATCATAAGGTCTGTCATTGAGACAGCTGGCGTGATTTCGATTTCCCGGTTATACCTGACAAGGAGTAGGGTCGCCTGTCCAATCTCGAAGATTTTCTCCGGGTCCTCCGGTTTCCTCCCACTGCTAAAGACCCCTACGCACAAGCGAATTATTGAAATAAAATTGAACTATGTATGACCAAGTAAGTGTCGAGTGGACGGTGAACTCCATTTCTCTCTCCCCCTCTATGACTGTGTTCATCCCTCTATAAGAAAGAGTGTGATTGAGTTTAATCTAGACAATTATGTAGTTCCTTAGAAGGTGGCCGTGGCTCTCGGAAGCCTGCAATCCGAATAAAAGACATCGTTTCGCCAGGGTGATGAGATTTTCGAGTGAGCATATCGAAGGTAACTATTGAAACAGTATTGTGTAACCCATGCAGCGCCACTGTTGAGTCATACTACTTTTATGTTTCAACGGGGCTAATGAGTAGTTGCTGCAAGCATCGTAAAACTTTACTGCGCCACTGCCACAAAACAACCTGTAAAAAAACAACAACACAACAAAACAAATCCAACGGATTAGAAGTAAAGTATGGAATAATATCATTTTAGTTTAAATCTAGTCATGGTGTCGTTTCGACCCCTAAAGAAAGGCGTTACTTTGCCTAATTATACCCTACTTGTAACATGTCGGTTAATCAAATACTGTACACATAGTCAACAAGACAAAAATAATATTTACATTAAACACAGATAGAGCTGGGTAATAATATTAAGAATAATTACACAGATTAAACAATCTCTTCACATCGATGTTAGCTGATACAGAGAGAGAGAGAGAGAGAGAGAACTGTATTTCACATGTGTATTAAATCTTACTAATTACACAGATTAAACAATCTCTTCACATCGATGTTAGCTGATACAGAGAGAGAGAGAGAGAGAGAGAGAGAGAGAACTGTATTTCACATGTGTATTAAAACTTACTCTCAAATTACTAAATGGAAGATGGCGGAATAAGGAATAAGGATGGCGGCGTGATTCCAGTGGCGTGACAAGGAGAAGGTAACCTGTCCAGCCTCGTTGATTCTCTCCGGGTTCCCCAGTTTCCTCCCACTGCGCAGAAGTAAATTAATGAAACAAAATTGAATCATATGTTAGTCCCGCAATGACCTAGTTTGTGTCAAATAGACTTTAAACCTCATTTCACTTGAGATTGGGTCTTCTACCCAATATTTGACATGCTGGCCCTTTAATATAGATAAGGTATAAACGATTACATGCTGGTCCTTTAATATAGATAAGATATACACGATTACATGCTAGTAGAAAACGTTTGATGTGTTTCCCGTTTATTGCTGTTGACATTGGTTGAAGGATTCGATTAAAATTAAACAAAATGTCAAGTTAACTCAAACAAACTCAGATAAGATAACACAATTATTCACATAATTACACACACACACATCTGCATAATAAAGTCACGGTTCTTATAAAACGGTGGGAAGTTGGGTGGTCGAATGATTTAGATCATAGGGTCTGTTATTGCGTTTCCCCGTGACAAGGAGTAGGGTCGCCTGTCCGACTTCGTGGGTTTTCTCCTGGTCCTCCGGTCTCTTTCCATTGGTAAACGATAAATGTGTACACGAGACCCTAATAGGATCAACTAGACGTTATGCTTTGTCGGACTTCCCAATCTGTGCCACAGACAAAGGGGAAACTACACTGGAAAATCCCAAGGAACTATCTCGGCCAACAGCGGGGTCGAACCCGGTACCACGAGGTTAGCGAGCCAGCGCTTTGCCAACAGAGCCACCGCGCGCTCCACAATCACAGACGCATAAATAGATCCGTTGCCGGGTAACGAAACATACAGCTAAGTCGTCCGGTAATCCAAACATGTTCTTCCATCTGTTTGATTCTTTTGTAAATAATGTTGGACGGACGGACGGACGGACTGACATGGCTGACAACATTTCAATGAGGGCGTATGAAAATAGAATTAGTAGCCATATTTAGGATATGTGAAAGATATTTAGATATGTATTGTAAAGTGTTTATCAATAATATCTATATAAAATAGTGAAATATATTTAGATGTGTAAATTTATATAAAATGTATCATGATAAGGTAAATAACAATCGATTATACCCCGTCAGACCGGGGTGGCGCCTTTACTGCGCTGCTACGGCGACGGAAAATTTAACGTCCTTCTTTACTGCACTGACTGGGCTAATGAAGACAGATATTAAAGATAGACTTATTAAAGATGAACTTATTAAACATACTTATCGAATATGGACTTATTAAACGTTGACTTATTGAACAGGAACTTATCAAACAGGGATATCGATACAGAAAAGTAGAAGTTACAACCATTTCATTATTAATCCTTCAAACGACAATAACTGACTTTAAATGAACAGTTATTCCCGAGGTATATCAATATAGATATAGAGTTTTAATGGACAGTTTCTACTGAGAGATATCAATATAGATATGTTTTATTACAAACGACGATAACAGAATTAAACATCCATTATGCAAGAGCTAAATCGAGATTGTGTTTCTTTTATTGTACCGACTTTAGTAATGATGACCTAGGCTAGGCCGTAAATTCAATCGCTAAAATCTCGGTTCAGAGTGGATCAATGTGACTGAAATTTTCAGCAAATTCCATTTACATTATCCAGTTGTTAACTATTATAGTGCGAACTGTCAGCTCTTTATCTAATCTCCTATAATGTATCTTTAAGTAAAGCAGTTTCTACTGTGAGATATCAATGTAGATATAGAGTTTAAGTAAGCAGTTTCAACTGAGAGATATCAATGTAGATATGCTTTAATAAAAAACGGACGAGATCGATATCTATAATAGGATTTATTTGGTGATAAATTAATTTCTTTAGTAGATTAAATTTGAAATGATGCAGTTAAACGTCACTTTATAACAGTATATAATTCTCATGATATAAACGAAGAGACTGTCACATTTCAATCGAACTGTTGTTGTGACGCAGGCTACCTGTTTCACCTGAGGAACTCGCAGGTATATCAATGTTTTTCTTCATATTGGTCATATAAATATTTACAATGTTTTAGACAATATAACACACTTACGTGTAAATATTATTAAACCTTTGTCAGACATCTTTGCGACGTCATTTCATTTCAGATTTTTTTATTTTTATTTTTACCGTTAACGTTTAATGAAATTAGTCACAATCTTAGCCTACTCACAGCGCATGAATAAACACGTTTATTCTCTTGGCTCAATGTTCTTATAATGGCTAGTATTCACAAAGAAAGAAATTTTAATATCTTAGGAGCCATAACATGAAATGCGTCTATCTATGACATCCTAAAAAAACGTGTGTTTTAAAGTCTAAAGACAAAAGATTAAAGTTTATGTCTATATTTCATTCCTCACAAATCAACCAATAACTGGGACAGCTACAGTCCATGTGATTGGGGAGTTAGTTTTACCATGTAAATGAAATGAAATGGGATTTAACGCACTACTTTTCTGCACCGGTGGGGGGGGGGGATGGCTGAATGAGTAGCACGCGCGCTGTGCCGTGTCATAAGGTCTGTCATTGATTCAACTGGTGTGGCTTCGATCCCGGGTTGTACGTGACAATGAGTAGGGTCGCCTGTTCAACCTCGTGGGTTTTCTCCGGGTCCCCCGGTTTTCCCCACTGCTAAAGATCCTTACGCGGAAGGGAATTATTGAAATAAACTTGAATCATGTGTTAGTTCCGAAATGACCTAGTTTGTGTCGAGTTAAACCCCATTTCTCTCTCTCCCTCCGTTTTCTGCACCAATTGGGCTAATGAAAACGGTCATTCCAACGCATTGTATTATCAGGTTAATTATGCAGTCTATTTAAATGTTGTCAAGGGCTCTGTGTACCATCGACAGTATGTTCAAGATCCCCGGCAGTTGAAAATTACAATAAGAGTGTCCGAATGGTTAAAGCGTATACGTTGATCAAAAGATCTGTCATTGAGTCTGAGGCGTGGTTTCGATTCCACGCTTGTACGTGACAAATAGTAGGGTTACCTGCCCGTATCCAACCGGGTTTTCTAGATGTACTCCGGCTTTTCTCCCCACAATTTCAAAAATATTCGAAAGGCACTTGAGCACTCAAATTCAAACTTATTTGGAAACCTTCAATGTTCTTTATGCTTACCAATCTGGATTTAGATCAAATCATTCATGTGCTACTGCACTGATCCGAATGACAGATAATTGGCTTGATGCTATCGATAATGTAATGATGCGATGAGTGGTATAGTGTATCTTGATTTTAGCAAAGCATTTGATCTCATTGATCACAAGCTTATTATTGAAAAACTACATCTTTATCGATTTGATAATAATTCACAAATTTTGATTGAATCATATCTTGACTCACGGAAGCAAAAGGTATATGTTTAGGATCAAGTACCTCCAGTCAAATGCGGGGTTCTACAAGGTTCGATCCTGGGTCCTCTCCTATTCCTTATTTTTATAAATGATATCCCACTCAATATTGAATCAAGTCAGATAGATTTATTTGCTGATGACAGTACCCTGCATTGTTCACACAAAGATATTTTATCAATCGCCAATAATCTCCAAAATTATCTCTATTTGGTTGCTAAATGGTGTGAAAACAATGGGATGGTAATCAATCCTTCGAAAACAAAATCCATGCTGATTTCATCAAAACACAAAAGAAATCAGAAAAACTAAACTTTATCACTCCATGGTGAGAAAATTGAGACGGTTACTACCACAAAATTACTTGGAATTAACCAAGACCTTAATTGGGAAGCACAGATAGCAGATATGCCTAAATACTTGCATCAAAAGATCATTTACCTTACGAGACAAGAATTTTGTTTTATAACAGTTACATACTACCAATATTTGATTATTGCTCTATTATTTGGGGAAATGCTACCAAAAGTAGATTAGACATTCTTTTAAAATTACAAAAGAGGGCAGCAAGAACTATTCTTGATGCATCGATTGAAACTCCGTTCACCTCTTTATTTACTAAACAACAGATCTGTTGGCTTACCCTTACACAGAGGTTTCTTTACAATAAAATTGTCTTATCATTCAAAATTATTACATTTAATACTCCACTTTATCTAAATTCCTATTTTATTGAAAAATCTCTTGTTTCCAAAACGGATATCTTGCTCCGTTCACAGATCACTAAATCTCCTTTCCTTCAAAAATGCAAAAGGGAATCCATGAAACGTACTTTTCATTATTCTGCATGTCTTTTATGGAACAATCTGCCTTTTGATATAAAGATGTGTAAAAATGTTGAAAATTTTAAGATTAAACTGAAAACTCGTTTATTTTGCACACTGAAGGAACCATAATATTCAACTGATGACATACTTATTATTTTTAACTTGCAACAGCATTCTATTTTATTTTGTGTGTAATTATAGTGTTCTTCCTATATTGTACTTGTATAATGTATATGTTTTGTAGTTTGGGAGTTTGGGAGTGACTTATCAAACTTCCCACTTTAAAATGCTATTGCATTTCTAATGATTTTAAATTTATCCTGATATTACATGTATATATGTCTTTGTAGCTTAGGGGGGACCTATGGAAGATTATTTTTTTTTTTTTTTTTGCAAACTAAATACATTGCCTCATTAAATAAAGTTTTTATTACTATTATTATTATTATTATTATTATTATAACACGTCTGCCTCTAGATATAGTTAGTATAACACACCCGCTTCTAGATATAGTTACTATAATATACCAACTTCTACATATAGTTAGTATACCACACCCGCTTCTAGATATAGTTAGTATAACAAGCCGGCTTCTAGATATAGTTAGTATAACACGTCGACTTCTAGATATGGTTAGTATAATATGCCCGCTTCTAGATATAGATAGTATAATACGCCCGCTTCTAGATATAGTTAGTATAACAAGCTGGCTTCTAGATATAGTTAGTATAACACGTCGACTTCTAGATATAGTTAGTATAACATAAAAGCTTCTAGATATAGATAGTATAATACGCCCGCGTCTAGATATAGTTAGTATAACACACCCGCTTCTAGATATAGTTAGTATAACACGTCCGCTTCTAGATATAGTTAGTATAACTCACCCGCTTGTATATATAGTTAGTATAACCGACCCTTTTCTAGATATAGTTAGTATAACACGCCCAATTATATAGATAGGGACATTTGGTTATATTCCCATCTTAGTGACGGGTTCGTGAAAAATAAATACACAATCGCATCCTGTTTTATAATTGCATAAGATAATTTACCTTAAAGACAGAGAAGAGACAAATTAAATAAATATTTGATGAACGTGATTGAAACTATATGAGGAAATAAATATAATATTAACACTTGTATATTATGATTTACACCGACTTGTACATCATTCATTTTTAAATCACCAGAATCTCTTTTGTCAGGGTTGAATATAATCCTACTGATGGGATGAAATAACAACTTGTGTACCCATAAAATACTTGTTGAGTGTTCGTGTATAATTCTATGACCAGACTTATAATTACAAATCAATGTTTCAGTACTTAAAATACTTAAATAGATATACGTTTGATGAACATTCTAGGATAATCTCTACAATAACGATAATCTCTATAGTAACGATAATCTCTATGGTAACGATAATCTCTATGGTAACGATAATCTTTATAGTAACAATAATATCGATAGTAACGATAATTTCTATAGTAACGATAATCTTTATACGATAATCTTTATAGAAACAATGTTCTCTATAGTAACAAAAATATCGATAGTAACGATAATATCGATAGTAACGATAATATCGATAGTAACGATAATATCGATAGTAACGATAATCATCAAAGTAACGATAATTTCTTTGGTAACGATAATATCTATAGCGATGATTTATATAGTAATAACAGTAATAATCTCTCTGTATCGAGGGGTTGTATGGCCGAATGGTTAGCACGTGCGCGCTGTATCATACGGTCTGTCATTGAGTCAACTGACGTGGTTTAGATTCCCCGGTTGTGCGTGACAAGGAGTAGGTTCGCCAGTCCAACCTTGTGGGTTTTCTCCCGTTCCTCCGGTTTCCTCCCACTGCTAAAGACCCGTACGCGCAATCGAATTATTAAAATAAAATTGAACTGTGTGTTAGTCTCAAAATGACGTAATTTGTGTCGAGTGGACATTACACTCCCCCTCTCTTCTCTCTATCACACAATAGCTTAGAGACGAGAATCCTGGAAGTTTAATGGCACGAATAACAAATCGGATAAACCAACCCTTCTACCCCTCTTAACGAACGAATTTCAATACGCCCATGTAAATATTGACCATCGCAGGGGTTCATTTCTTCTAGAATCATTGTTGTATAAATAAAATGAAACGCGGTTCAACTAACATGTGAATACATCAAATCTCGTTAGTTTATAACTACTAGTATATTATAGTGTGACCATTCCTTAGATGTTGGCAGATTGAACAGACTAGACGAGTTTAACGCTGAACAGGTAACCCGTTTGTTTCTATTTATCTGGAGGAAATCAATGAAAATTTGTCATGTAGCAGACGGTTTACGATATGTTAATATCCACTGTTTGCTACCTCGCCAATTCGTACCCAGGTTGGCTTGATTAGGAAAACGTAGGTACACGGGGTAATTTGGTGTTGACTCGACTTTAGAATCTGTTGTCTACTTGTTAAAAGTAGATGTAGTGACAAAGGTTCGAGGCCAGGTAAGTTTGTAATGAATAAATGGGCTGAGGTTTAAAGGGTTAGGGTTGGGTTAACCCTACCCCCCTAACCCTTATGTAAGATGAAGAATTGACAGTTTCAAAACAGGTTATGAAAAAGGAATTGCTTTATTCTGAAGGAAGATAGGGCCATTTGAAGATTAGCTTGGTCTCGACTTTTATTGCTACTGCTATTAAAATAACGCTAATTAATGGCTTGTCATGTTAATAAATGTCTAATTAATTAATGATTTATATAACATTTGACATCAAACGATCGACAATAGGCAGATTTAGCTCTTACATAATGCATCTTTAACACTTACATAATGCATCTTTAACTTCCGATCGTTCGGCACCTACCAGGATAATGAAGATGGGCCACGCTATAGTGTGCATTGAGGGACATTTTGCCCGTGCAGCAGCTGAATTCCAATTGTCAATGGTTTTCTTTGCGTGCAAGTCAAGATATATATCGTCCCATTTGAACGCCTAGATGGTGTTCCTAACCCTTCTTGTACCACTGACCAGGGTCGATCACTCTAGATATTTTATCGGTCAACACTGATATCGAACCACACCCGTCTTGGTAGGTAAGCCATTACCCTATTCACTGAGCCACCGTGCTTCCTGGTTAAGTTTGTAACGTTAGAGTGTAGTAAAAAGAGGGAGAAATGGGGTTTAACGTCCACTCGACAACAAACTAAGTCATTTCGAGACTAACATATGGTTAAATTTTATTTCAACAATTCGCGTACGCGTCTTTAGCAATGGGAGGAAACCGGAGGACCCGGAGAAAACCCAAGATGGTGAACAGGCGACCCTACTCCTTGTCACGTAAAAGTGGGGAAACAAAACCACACCACTTGACTCAATGACAGACCTTCCGATCCAACACACACGCGTTAACCAGATATGGTAAGCGTATTGTTGGTGTAATATTGTCAGAGATAAATTATGTATATCACGTTATATTTTTGTTCTTGAAATGTACATTTTCTAAATTCTTTCTCATATTTTGTAAAACATTTGTATGTTTTTCAGCAGGTCAACATGCGTGGTATTGTGTTGTCATGGATACTGGGTATAGTGTTGTTAATTCCAGTAGTCAACGGTTGGTTGACCGCAAATAATGCAAGGTCACCTTTACTAGTAAGTTGACATTTCTTTAAATCATTTATCTCAAGTTGGACATTCTTAAATATCGTTTCTTTGCTTATAGTTTTAATGGCCCTTTTCCGAATAGATCTGATCAGATCAAGCAGAGGGGTCGGGCCTGGGAGAGTGGGGTGGGGTGGGGGCTCTTATTCATTGTTCAACTAGCTTAAATTTCGACTAAACACACATTCTCAATGACTAAATCTCATCTCCGTGCATCCGATTGTAAAACGAAGGAGATATTTCAAGTATTTACCCATCAATTTAAAATTGAAATACTGGATAATGTCTTGTATATTTTGTAGAGTATAATTGTAGTTAGCACGTGCTGTGTATCACGACTTCATGGGTATTTAACATTCTTAGCATTGCGCATGCCCTTAAAGGTATATCACTGGTAAATGTATATGCTTGTATTTATAGATCATTTATAAAGTGAAATTTAATTTATTTAATTTATTTGAATTTATTTAAATTTATTTAAATTTATTTGATTTTATTTATTTAATTTATTTAAATTTATTTAAATTTATTTAATTTATTTAATTTATTTAAATGTATTTAATTTATTTAATTTATTTTAATTTATTTAATTTATTTAAATTTATTTAATTTATTTAATTTATTTAAATTTATTTAATTTAATTTATATAAATTCATTTAATTTAATTTATATAAATTCATTTAATTTATTCAAATTTATTTCATTTATTTCATTAACTTTATTTAATTTATCTAATTTATTTAATTGATCTCATTTATTTAATTTATCTCATTTATTTAATTTATCTAATTTAAATTATTTAATTTAATTTAATTTAATTTAATTTAATTTAATTTAATTTAATTTAATTTAATTTAATTTAATTTAATTTAATTTAATTATTAATAATTTTCAAAATTCACTATTTATCGAAACATATAATATCTCGATGGTAAGTTTTCCTTTAAATCTTGAATGCTTTGTGATCTTTAATTTTCTTGCTTCCGACTATTTTAATCTTTATTTTCTCTTCAAGTCATTCTTAAATCTTTGTCATGGTTGAACAGTAGTATTACGATATGTTGTTACTGAGTAGAAGAGTACTGTAGGTCATCGAAATTATAAAGAAAACGAAATGAAATATAGATGTGGATTTTAATCAGATTAAGAAAGTAAGAATATTCTGTACAAATATAAGTACAGGTGCTTGAAGCTGTTTGCGTCTAACAAAACGTTTAGTATTACAGTCGTACTACTTGTCACGATCCCCAATGTTGTCATGGCAATATTATTTCTCTTCTGGTTTTGCTTTGCTCGAATTATTATTTTTACTGTTTCACATCGCGTAGCTTCTTTGCTCGAATTATTATTTTGTTCGCATTGTTATTTTTTTGTTACATTTTTTTTATCTTCTCACACCGCACTAGTGGTATCATTTCGTAGTCTAAAAGCAACATAGGCATTTCTTGGAATGTGGCCGAAACGTCTGTTAACGACATGTCTGTTATACCACTTGGTTCAATAATATATAGGCGAAATAACGGATTATCTTTTTATATTTCATAATAAATTACTAATTAAAGCCTGAAAAATAAATTCCACTTTTTTTTAAAATTAAAATATATGTTTTGTTTTAAAAAAACTAAGTTACGACCGTAAAGAGTTTACGTTCGTTTCTGTTGGTTTTACATGCCCACATCTCGTATCTTAGACGCAAATAGATAAATAAATATGGTTTTTGTTCAAGTCAATCTATGCCTAATTATTTTCTTTCAAATATTGAACAATATTTTTATTCAGATAAATACACACATTACCAAAAATGTAGGGATTCAAAAACAAGCCAAAGGCTTATATATTAATTCATCTCTATTAATTATAATAAAAAATTCATATACTTGTAGCAGCATTTGCTTTAAATCGTGCATGGAAATAAAACTTAATATTGTTTGTCACTTTCATCTTAAATCATCTGGTTATTACAGGGAACAAGGCCGCCTCCTGGATCTCCATGGCCGATGCCAAAAGAATGGAACCCGACCTCAGATCTTGTGACCTTTGATCCAGACAACTTCCGGTTCAATGCCAATCTGATGAACTGCGACATTGTAATACAAGCTATAAAGCGATATACACCAATATTGTTCGGTTACAAAAGAGTTAAGAAGGCAGAAGGATTGTCCCCCCTACCGGAACTTAAAATGACAATATCGAGTAATAAATGTGACAAGTATCCAAGTATGGCTATGGACGAATCATGTAAGAGGGGTTTTAATATCATATTTATGTGTAGATATTCGGTTCGGACAGGGGTGGGGGGTGGTGGTGAGGGTACCAAAAACAGTAGGTGTATATCGTGTACACTGTAGATATTTCAGTGTATGCCGCGGAGTTTAACGATTCTTCAGGTTAGAGAGATTATGAGATTTTAGCAATTCGTCTGATTGGTGATTTCGACATTGTAACCTGGCGTCTAGTGCCCTCCCCCAATCCCACTTTTAAAGATTCACCCTTTTAGACCCCCCCCCCTCTTCCTTCCATATAATGATTTCCTACTTTTAAAGATTCACCCTTTGTGTGCCCCCACCCCTTCGTATAATGATTTCCTACTTTTAAAGATTCACCCGATCTTGGTTTTACTGATCCCAATAATTTTATCTGTTTCAGATGAACTATCTGTTAGTGATACGACCTTGTTGACAGCCAACCAAGTGTGGGGCATGTTGAGAGGTATATTAAATCTTTTAATAAGTTTACACGTGCAACGCACTAAATCCATGGACTACGTAAATATATGAAGTAATTCATAGGCGTTACCATACGCTTGACGTGCCAAAAAACAACTTTTCATTTCATTATTGTGACAATTCCTTTTTAATTCTGTCACTGACTGACCGCGGTTATGATTGAAAGTAAGTGAGATGACCTTTTCTTTTACCTCGAATAATAACCACGAGGCCCACAAGCTACACCCACCCAATACGCCGACGTTCAGGAACCCACAGATTGGATTTCGAGTCCGCGTGGGATAAAAAAAACCGGAATCTACCCTTAGTAATACACCATCCCGGGCTCGAGAATCCACAGATTGGATTTCGAGTCCGCGTGGGATGAAAAACTGGAATCCACCTTTACTAATACACCATCGATTCTACAATATGTTGTTATATTTTATATTCCTAGGACTGGAAACCTTCAGTCAGTTGATGTTTTACCAAGACGGACAGGTAACACTTATGTTGAATATCACGTCATAACCTTATAGTATTATAATACGTCATCACAAACAGCTGATCATCCTGAAATAAAACATGCTATCACAACTGTGTACACCGAAATAAACGTGCTACCTTTTGTTGAGGAGTACACAGGTCGATCTATGTTTTTGTCCCATCCGAACGACTTGTTCAGCACAGGGGTCGACCCTGGGACCATTGCGTTAGTGAACCACGATGGATTTCATTGACATACTGTCCCAATATTAGGTTAACCCTTAAAAGTTTTCCTGCAATCTAATACAAATGAGACCGCGAAAACATTTCCTTTTCATATTAGAAACATAATACTTTATGGATACAAATGACCGGACATAAACTTTTTTCCGCAATACATATCCTTGCACCGGGGATCCCCCTGTTGTGTCTGGCAAGTCGTATTACAGGACACAATTGTAGTTGGGACATAGTGGAGGCATGGTGGAAGCATTCAGCATCGCTTGATCTGAAATCTAATAAGAATATGTCCGCGAAAATATCCCATCCTCATATTAGAAGCATATTTCTTTATATCGGAAACAATATTCATAATGGGGATACAACTCTCTTCTGTCTTTGTAGATTTTTATGAATAAAACACGGATTATTGACAGTCCTAGATTTAGTTATAGAGGACTTCATACAGATACAGCCAGACATTATATACCTTTACCAATACTCAAAACAAACTTGGTAACTATATATTACTCTTATCATGTATCACATCTTTTCAGGAATAACACCTTCTAGTCGTTACAAACTATCATATTGTAAACGTCAGGTCAAGAATAACAGATAGTATGTTCTCTGGACAAGTGTTAAAAATATACAGGTGGGGAGTAGGGTAGGTTTTAGGCCTGGGGTGATATCGCAGACAAGTGTTTCTTGTAAACTTGCCAAAGGACCCACATAATCGGCTTGGACCAAGCCCGTGCTATCACGTATATACAGTTAAATCACTTGTAAACTATAATATTGTGAACGTTGAATCGCGTGTAAATTGTGACCGTCGAACCTCTTGTATAACATTGTAAACGTTAAATCTCTTGTAAATTATAATATTTTGAATGTTAAATCTCAGAAAGGAATACCAGCCTACAATTGATGAATTTCCATTCTGTATTTACCAAGATATAATGAATTGAAAATTTCCCAGCCATTCGAAATCCTCTGTAGACAATATAAAACAAGCCAATGTTTTACCAAATATATGTATAGTAGAAAATACTACCTTTAAAGACGAATGAGAATAATAAATTCAATGTATTATTTACAGGATAGCACGGGTTATAATAAATTCAGTGTTTTATTTTCAGGATGCCATGAGTTATAATAAATTCAATGTTTTTCACTGGCATATTGTTGACGATCAATCGTTTCCATTCGTCTCTAAAACATTCCCAGAATTATCCAAAAAGGTAAATATTTGTTTTCTATATCAAGATATTTTATTTCTTTGTTTTTTGAATGGATTCTCTCGGGAAACTTTCGCCTTGATCAATTCTTCTAGAAGTAAATAAAAACAATCTGGTTGGATTCAATTAATAAAACAAATTAATAAAAATCATTATGAAACGCTAGACGCCAAGCGATATGGTTGGGTTCAATCACTAAAAAAAGTTATGTGAAATAGTTTATATACAAATGATATGCAACCAAAGTTGACTAGACATTAATCCAATGGTTAATAAATACTGATGTATATTATATTTAAATATCAATATCACGGGGCAGTGTAATAAAGTTATGTTTATATATCGGGGGAAGGGGGTGTAATATGTTATTTATCAAGGAGCCTATGCCAGTAAACATGATTATATATCAGGGCAGAGTGTAATATTAATATTTTGTTTTTATATATCTGGGGGGAGTGTAATAAAGCTATGTTTATATTTATATCAGGGTGCCTATACCAGTAAACATGTTTATAAACCGGAAGATGTAGCTGATATTATAGAATATGCACGTGTACGTGGTATTAGAGTTATCCCTGAATTTGATACACCAGGCCACACCCACTCCTGGGGAAAGGCCTATCCGGGTACGTTAAATGTTCGGTTATATTGTTTGACTATATTATATTCCCATCTAACAAGTATAAATAAAACTATATTATATTATATTTTATTGTATTGACTTATCAGTTTAAATAGAATTGTCACTTGGGAATGACCTAATTAAAGTGTCGAATAAAAAATGAAATAGGATTTAACGTGTTACTTGACGGGCATATGACAGATATTCGACCCACTGTTCATCCAGTTCAAGCTGTCATAGCTGTCAAGGGTTTATTAACGTACACGCCGTTCTCTCAGTCGTAGGTAGATACAATCTTGCTAGAATTGGAGGAATCATTGGTGTAGACCCCGGGCAATGCCTATGATTAGAGCGACCATTGGTTTAGACCTCGAACAACCTCTAGGAACTTTCTCAGTGCCATAATTATTGCACCACTGCCGACGAGATATACTCTTACATTGTTATATTACTAACAGGATACCCGGTTTCGCCCAGGGCACAAATTAGCAAAGAGTCCTAATTTGCTCAGAACCCCAAATCGCCTGGGGAACTAAGTCTATGGCCTGACACATTCACGGGGTCACGCTGCTTAATTTGATAGTACGTTTGGGTAGATCTCGACGACGAAGCGCGAAAAGCGAACATACACACAGACATATTTGATTTTATTGATATCGATAGATAGATTTTATTTATAAATTGGGAGGGGACGACTACTCTAGATGTTGAGCTTTTTTGTATATATACATATCTATATAACTTATTATAAGACCCCCTGACGTCATGTTATAACATATTTTATTTATCAGACCATATGACGTCATATTATTTTATATATTTTATTTATCAGACCTCTTGACGCCATGTTATGTTAATGGTGTACCAGGAACACCCATTTGGGGAAAATATGCTGCTTACGAAAATTTTGATGTAACCAAAGAGTTTGTGTACGAGTTCTTGGGAAAGTTTTTTGCTGAAGTGAAGGAAGTTTTTCATGATGAATACATTCATATGGGGATGGACGAATCTTATTATCGCTGTTGGTAGGTGGAGTAATGCAATATTATTTATATCATAAACAACCGACCACAAGGCCTGTTTTGTTTCGGTTCTATTCTATTTTAAAGACTACTTAATTTTCGATTTAGAAACCCGGTCCGCCTGATGTAAAATGAAATAAAATAAAACACCAAATCTAGACACCGATAACAAACTCACAACGAGGCAGACAACTCATAGACACACACAAACCACTCGAGAAGAAATACTAATTATTGACGTGTGTTGTCTCATCTGATATTCTATATTTACCCTTTGTCTTCACGTTAACCCATATTTTAACAAACAACGTTTGTATTTGTCGTGATGTGGCATGATAATATAAAGAGGGCATAAAACCCCTCTTGATCAAAACGTCGATTGAAAAAAAACAATACCCTCTTCGTGCTGTTGAAAAATGTTAAATATGGTAGCTACAGCAGATCCGCCATTAAATCTGATTAATGTGTGACACGGTGGATCAGTGGGTGAGACGTTTTCTCGCTGTTAGATCCAGGTGCGGGACGTTGGGGGGGGGGGATGAGGCGCTGGCAAGGGACAATGTATAATCGTTCAGATGGTACGAAAAATCGAGATCCGGTGCATACATTGGAGTGCACGTTAAAGAACATGTAGCTCGTAGTACCGCTGTCTGGGCGAAACTTCCCTCATACAAGACGTATATCCATCTTCATTAGTCCGGTGGGTGCATAACAGTCGGACGTTAAACCCGAATTCATGTTGATTGAGCTAACTGGATTGTATTTCAGGCAATCTAATCCCAACATAACGACCTTCATGCAAGAACGAGGAATAGAAGGCAACTATTCAAAACTAGAACAATATTATGCCGAGAGAACCCTCCGTATTATCTCAGATCTGGGTAGAAAATACGTCATATGGCAAGATCCAGTTGAAAACGGAGCAAAGGTACTTTTAGCTTACAAGGTCAAGTGAGTTTTCAGGCAGAGGGTGGTATGTACCTTTACGCCAATGTCTACACGTGGGAGGGGCAACGGGTGGTATGTACCTGTACGCCAATGTCTACACGTGGGTGGGGCAACGAGTGGTATCGACATGTACGGCAGTGTGTACACGGGGGTGGGGCAAGAGGTGATTTGTACATGAACGACAATATCTACAAGAGTGGACTTGGTTTTACATGTACAACAATGTGTACACACACGGCGGCGCCGGGGTGGGAGGGGACTACGGCAATGTTTACCCTGATAGAATATTTGAAACCGTGACGCATTTATTCACGTGATGAAACAAAATTAGTCAGATATTTAATGTCACGGCCTTTATAGATTCCTTACTAGGTAACTAAATACAGGACAAGAAAAAGTTTAAGAGAGTATGGATGTTTGTATGTTTCCCTGCTTGTATTTTCAATTCATCATATTCGAACTCATATTTATTGTGTTTTTCTACAGGTGCGTGATGATATTATTGTGTTTTTTCTACAGGTGCGTGATGATACTTTAGTAATGGTATGGAAGGGAGGTAATACTGCCCATGAAGATCATTGGAATTCCTATATGGAGAAGATTGCACCCCAGGGTTATAATACTATATTAGCGTCGTGTTGGTATCTCAACTATATTAAATATCCCCCAGATTGGGAAGCTCTTTATTCTTGTGATCCACATGATTTTAATGGTAAGAACACCAGGTCGTTCAGCTGTCTATTCTTGTTTAGTTTTCGGAGCTTATCACAGGAACCAATCACATATCAACCTATTTCAGTAATCAGTTCCTTAAACAGTTCTGTTGAATAGCGTTTGTTTCCATGGAAACAAATAGAACTTAATTTTTGTGCAGTGCAATATGCATTCATCTTATCTGGGGTCGCATTTTGTCAACCATCTTTTCATTGACCAACTGAGGGGTCAACTTCTTAAATATGTTGTCGGAACATTCCTCAAAGATGTTGTCAGATAACTTCTAAAAGTTGTTGTTAGAAAACTTACTGAAGATTAAATAAAGCCATAAACTTAAAAGCGAGCGAAAGGAACTAGAATGTCCAATAAACTCCCTGTCAAACTCTTCTCAGTCTGTTCAATCTTATAAGACTTTTGAAATGTCTACAAATATTGGCACATCCGTAATTGGGCACCACGAAGGATCGTGATCTTAAAGCAGTTGCTTACATCTTTGCAGTCCATGCTAGTTGTACGCGCGAGCTTTTCACATGCAGAGTGTACGTGTATTTAAAACTTCTATGGTCTGGAAATGGTAATGCCAGATTCCTGGATAGATACAGGTCGTGTATGAAGCATAGTAACATGTTATTTTTAATATATTTAATGTTTATCTGCTACTCCAGGTAAACAGAGAGAGAAAGATCTTGTGTTGGGTGGAGAAACTTGCAATTATTGTAATGTTTATCTACTACGTCAGGTACCCAGACAGAGACAGATCATGTATTGGGCGATGGAACTTGTAATTTGTATATATTTAATGTGTATTGTAATGTTTATTTACTACTTCAGGTACGCAGGCGGAGAAAGGTCGTGTATTGGGCGGTGAAACTTGTATGTGGGCGGAATATGTTGATGGTACTAACATACTCCCTCGTTACTGGTACGTTTTAAATTCAGAACTCTCCAGTTATTTCCGTTACTGTGGACGCGATGACGCAATTAGGATTTGTAATTGATTAGGCCACGATTTGTAATTGATTAAGATGAAGAAAGTTCATCGGGATTTTCCGGAAAGTGGTTCTCGGTTGCAGAACGAGCGGTCTAACAAGGGGTAACGTATTGTAGTTCGGGTAGGTTGCAAGACGAGGGGTCTGACAAAAGATAACGTATAGTCGTTCGGATAGGACGAAAAACCAATGTACCGTGTACACATTGACGTGCACGTAAAATAACCCTTGGCAGTTAGAATTCGATACCAGAATAAGCCGCAATGCTAGGTTCCCACTATCACGATTCGTGCTACGATTGAAATCGTGGCTTTAATCGTGGTGATCCTATCAGGTGTTATAATATATTGAGGTCAGTCGTACCAATCGTGTTGACTGTAACGAAGCGTACCTGAACGTATCTGCACGCAGCAGATCGTGGACTCAGTAGGAACAATCCTATCGCAACCCATCGCGCGACAGTGGGAACCTGGCATTACGTCGCTGTCTGGGCAAAATGTCCCTCGTAGCATACTGTATGACGTATACCCGTCTCAATTAGACCACGCGGAGCAGAACAGTAGGACGTTAAACCTCATTCCATTTCAATTCCAATATGTCCTTCATTTCCAGGCCGAGAGCGTCGTCTGTAGCTGAAAGATTATGGAGTCCCAAGAATGTAAAGAACACAACTGATGCCATGTACAGAATAGATCAACAACGATGTCGTATGGTCAGGTACTAAACTTATATAACTACACAAATATTGGTCAATACACAAACACTGATCAATACACAAACACTGGCCAATACACAAACACTGATCAATACACAAACACTGATCAATACACAAACACTGATCAATACACAAACTGTTGGTAATAAATCCCCAACTAACAAGTAAAACAGAAGTTGACTTATTGCATGGGAAAATATCTAAATATGAAATGAAAGTGGGTTTTGGCGTCCTATTGTTCTGCTCCGACTGGGCTAATAAAGACGGCCATGCGTCATACAGTGTACTAGGAGGGAACCCTTTTTCTGACAGCGGCCTACTCTTATATCTATTTCCAACTGTCAAGGGTTCTTTTGCGTGCACGCCAATGTGTACACGGGACATCGGTTTTTCTTCTTACCCGAAGGGCTATATGTTGGCACTTGTCAGACCCCCCCCCCCCGTCCTGCAACACAAGAACACAGGGCCTCCAGGTTAGCCAGACAACGCCCTACTCACTGAGCCACGGTGGCTCCTTAACGTAGAATTATTGCATGGTTCAGTATAAAAAAAACCCCAAAACACACAATAATGACGTTATTCCTGCTGTCTGAAAGGGGAGATATTATAATAAATTATTTTTTGGATTCATGATATTCTGATTTCTTTCAATTTTATACAACACATCGACTAGGATTGTCTCCCTTTGTTTGCAGACGAGGAATTCCAGCTGAACCGATATTAGACGGTTTCTGTGGTGATTATGATTGGGGTTTTGATGACGTCGATACACCGGAAGTTGACAAGCCACCTACCTGTACAGGTGGTTTTAGATTAGAAGTGCGGATAACACTTCTTTTATTACCTTTATTGAATGTGTTTGTTTTATAGTTTTTGTTTTTATGAATGTGTTATATTAGCTTTATTCATCGTGTTTATATATCAAATGTGAGCGGGGTTGGATGGTTGAATGGTTAACACGTGCGCGCTGTATCATAAGGTCTGTCATTGAGTCAACTGGCGTGGTTTCGATTTCCCGGTTGTACGTACGTGGCAATGTGTAGGGTCGCCTGTCCAACCTCGTGGGTTTTCTCCGGGTCCTCCGGTTTCCTCCCACTGCTAAAGCCCCCTACGCACAAGCGAATTTTTGAAATAAAATTGAACCATATGTTAGTCCAAAAAAGACCTAGTTTGTGTCGCATGGACGTTACCCCCCTCCCTCTCTCTCTCTCCCTCTCTCTCTCTCGTTAAATGTGAGGTATCGATCAGGTATCGTGTTTGTATGATATAATAATGTATTTTTTGTTTTTAGAGAAAAATAAGTTGTACCTGAAACTATATATTTGTACATTCAGTCTAATAATTATATATACATATTTTAAGCCTTTCTTTTATTTCCTTTGTTTTTTTATGGATTGGACCCAGATTTACTATTAGAATTATAATATACAAATCGCAGTTTATTAGATACCATTGGGAAAATGTTCCATTTTTCGTATTTGGTTTGGTTGGGTTGCATCACTTGTTGTAATGTTGTCGTATATTGTCGCCCCCGTCCCTGGACCGTCCCTCGAAATACGCGTTGAGCAGTGGCCAGATGAGTAAGACGGTGGCTCCCTAACTGAGGGTCCTGTGTTAGGTCCCTGTGTGCACCGACTGGGGGTTGGGGTGCGGAAGGGGAAGGGGACACTATTTAGCTCCCTTGTATCGAAGGGACTTTATATAAGAAGGGCCAACGTTTCTCCTGCACTTACTATATTAGGGTCGTTCGAGTGCCCTAGTGACTAGAGTGTTGCGCTTCGAGCTCCAGGAACTTCGCCTCACCCGCTAATTATTCTGCTGTTCCTATTATTGTTGTTGTAGAGGCTGACACCGCCACTCTTCGAAAAAAAAAAATCCTAAGGTTTAGCCAATTCATGTACGATCAACATGAACCTGGACTGACTTTAGGTTTTGATATGTCACAAAGATATCACAGGCAAAATACAATTTTTATCAAATTATTTTAATATTTTTTATTGTATCTCGTAAATGTTAGTTTACATATGACAGATGACAAGACGTATACACATGTAGTCTTATACATTCAGTTTGTTAACAAGTTGAAACAACAATCTATAAAATAAAAGTTTTATAAAAATATTTAGATCATTAGATCTGTCACTGAGTTCAGTGGTGGTGGTGGGGGTGGAGGGTCAATTGTGTGTGACAAGGAGTAGGATAGTCTGTCACTGAGTTCAGTGGTGGTGGTGGGGGGGGGGTCAATTGTATGTGACAAGGAGTAGGATAGTCTGTCACTGAGTTCAGTGGTGGTGGTGGGGGTCAATTGTATGTGACAAGGAGTAGGATAGTCTGTCACTGAGTTCAGTGGTGGTGGGGGGGGGGCAATTGTATGTGACAAGGAGTAGGATAGTCTGTCACTGAGTTCAGTGGGCGTGGTTTCAATTGTATGTAACAAGGAGTAGGATCGTCTGTCTAACCTTGTGGGTTATGTCATGGTCTTCCGGTTTCATCCCATTGCTAAAGACCCCCAATCACAAACGAATTATTGAAATGAAATTTAACCACATGTTATGGCCAGTTGGCGTGAACTCTCTCTCTCTCTCTTTCTCTCTCTCTCTTTCTCTCTCTCCAATCTTGTTTCCGCTTGTAGGGCGGAGAGCCTAGCATTGATAAGTATCTAGTTGTTCGGATGGGACGAACACAAAACCTGTTTTCCACTCATGTAAAAGAACCCTTGACAGTTAGAATTGAAGAATAAAAGTATAATCTCTACTTACGTAATCGATGTACCCAATAAAATCCGTGAAGCCTGTACCATGACCTAGTTGAAAGGCACACTGTGATCGTTTAATGGAACCTGTATAGATTATAAATACAATCAGTTATGTCGTTTAATCAGTTTACATCAGAGTTTGGACCCACAGTGTCTCGGTGAATGCTAGACTGGGAAAATAACCTATAAAGTTCCTGGTAATGATAGCGCTTAGAGTGTTTCAAATGGTTTACAGAAACGGACAATGATGAGCTGTAAACCTTTCATTAGACTGGGATATTTGCCGTGTTAAAGGACAATATGGATGTCAGTCTTTAGCACATATGTGATAGAACTCGTTAAACACACTCCACAAGCATCTATCGTAGCAATATGTGTTAAAATTATATTTAGAAAATGTTTAACCAGTTCTATCACATATCTGATAATGCCTGACACCAATATTGTCCTTTAAATTGGGTAATATGGTATTTTCTTTTTTGGTCCCCTAACATAATCACGGAGCAAGGAACATAATATCGAATCGGATTGTTGTATATAACAGTGAAATTTCAGAGTTAGAATTTATCTGTAGAAAACCACCGATTTATTGAAGCTGGGAAATGGGTAAAAGTAAATCAGTCTACACCGATAGTATTTATTGTGCATGCTCTCCAGATAAGAATATGTCGTCTCCGTTTGACATGGCTTGTGGAATATGCCTAGCTTCGTTTTTCGAGTCCCTTATTACAAATGGCGCCATAACGCATTATGGTACCAATTAGTACGCATCGTGTACCTATGGTAAAATGTTTATTTTGTCTTCATTATTGGAGAGTAGAAGCACATCTTTTCCCGATAAGATCACAACATCAATGTTGATTTAAATTGACAATAAATCGTGTTTTCAATGTCGAAAATTTTGGATGATACTGAGTTAGAGACTTAGCTACTTTAAATGAACAACCGTAAGCAAGGGTTTGTTTTAGGGCCTTATGCAAATGCATGCATGTATATATAAAATACAACTGAAATACGACAGTGGGGAAGCACTCGACAAATCTGAGACCTGGGCGACAACAGAGCGGATAGAAGAGAGATGGGGAAACAAGAGAATGAACATACCAGACAAGCTACTAGATTCTGATGTCGTTCCATCAACCGTTCCAGTTAACGTGCCTTTACCAAATCTTAATTCAGCAACACGCCAATCATTCTATCAACAATAATAAATAATAATAAATAATAATAAGGGTTGTCTCCAAGCCCGATTACCTCCCTTTGCCTATTAACGTTTGAAATCTTAGAAAGAGAGAGAGAGAAATGGGGTTTAACGTCCACTCGACGCAAACTAGGTCATTTCGGGACTAACATATGGTTTAATTTTATTTCAATAATTCGCTTGCGCATAGGGGTCTTTAGCAGTGGGAGGAAACCGGAGGACCTGGAGAAAACCCAAGAGGTTGGACAGGCGACCCTACTCCTTGTCACGTACAACCGGAGATTCGAAACCACACCAGTCGACTCAATGACAGACTTTATGATACAGCGCTCACGTGTTAACCATTCAACCATAAAACCCCGCTCACATTTGATATATAAACACGATGAATAAAGCTAATATAACACATTCATAAAAACAAAAACTATAAAACAAACACATTCAATAAAGGTAATAAAAGAAGTGTTATCCGCCCTTCTAATCTAAAACCACCTGTACAGGTAGGTGGCTTGTCAAATTCCGGTGTATCGACGTCATCAAAACCCCAATCATAATCATTCAGCCATCCACCCCCCCCCCCCCATCTTAGAAAGAACCCTAACTCTGTCAAAAGAGCAAACGCCATCCTACAGCAGTTTGAACCTGCAACTGTTTTATTACAATATTTATTACATATTGTTCAATTTTATTTCAATAATTCGCTTGCGGCTAGGGGGTCTTTAGCAGTGGAAGGAAACCGGAGGATAAGGAGAAATCCCACGAGGTTGTACACCTTGCCTAGTCACGTACAATCGGGGAATCGACAGCACGCCAGTTGACTCAATGACAGACCTTATGATACAACGCACTAACAATTCGACACCCCCCCCCCCCCACACACACACACACGTCTACATTAAAATGCAATATTGAACAATAGCTATTAATTAATAATCAGCTATTCTGGTTTATATAGACTTGAGTACTTACAAATGAAGGCGTGGACACTTTTTGAATAGTCGCAGCGTTTACTTCGAATGATGTATAAGCACCAGTCACGGTAATAGCAACAGACGCATCTTCACCACAGTCACCATTGGTTACCAGAGCTTGTTCTACAGCAGAATCTCCTAGATCTCGATACCTAACTTGTACAACAAGATTGTTCCCAAGTTCCACATTTGCTAATCGTAAGATTTTAATGTTACTGTTGCCATCGAAGTAAGCTGCCCCATCTCGTACCGTAGCCCCATAGTTGTCGTATTCACCGGGTTCATCTCCATCAAATGTTATATCAACAACTGGGCGACACTGATCTGAGAATAATAAGTTAATTTTTATTAAATCAACGACTGGTCGACACTGATTTGAACTGAGAATAATAAGTTATTTTTTATTAAATCAACGACTGGTCGACATTGATCTGATATAACACGTCTAAGTTAATATGCAATCTGAGAAAACAATTATAATATTATAATGTCGTTACTGATCTATGAAAGTTATAGAGCTACACATCCTTTAAAGAACCTAGATACACAAATGGGTGGCAACGCATATAACAATGTAATATGAATGTATATAAACTGATTTACATTCAATCGTTTCGGTATTTACTGTCATTGGCGCCTGGTTATTCCAGTCTACACACCAGTAGTATTCTCCTACATGAGATATATTTATATTTTGTCTTAAATATTGGATATTAGAAGCCCAACTTTTCATGGTAAGATAACAACATCAATGTTAATTTAAATTGACCATTAAGTCGTGTTTGTAATGTCGAAGATTGTGGATGATATTGAGCTAAAGACTTGGTTCCTTTAATATTATAATATGTCGTCCAAGGGTCGACACAGATCTATGAAAGATGTCATTTAGATACTTAAGGATACATTATGTAAGATTTAGATAAAGAGCCGGCATTTCTCTCTCTTATAGTTCAAATATAGATAATTAAAATGAATTTACTTTATTTTCAGCGAAGATTTTAATGGTTGCAGTTTTGACAAGATGTGTACATTGATAGTAACCACCTTACTGGCCATTCGAGTTTTAGCCTCGCTTCTCCACTTTTTAAACTAAATCATTAAATGGCCGATATAACATTTAAGGGCCAAAAGAAAGGCAATAAGCAGATTAAGCTAATACATAATGTCTGTTGAATTACCGGATATACACGCTGAATTGGAAATATTTACAGTCAAAACCCGCTATGTCGATCGTCTGGATTTCACGTTTTAGTGTTTTAACTGAGATTCGAGTTAAACCTACTGTTAACATCTATATTAAATCTATGTTTTTTGACAGTACTCGAATAAAAGTTTGTAATCTTGACGAACAGGGAGAATAAAACTAATATTTAACTTCAGAAATGAAAAATGTTTGTAATCGCGAAGATATGGGGATAAATAAAAACTAATCTG